TTTTTGGTGCAAAAAAAGGAATTGTACCTAATTTGGAGCTTCAACAAATTGTCCCCTGATGCGAGTGCACACTCGGCTATATTCCGTCGCAGCGTACGGGTTATGGCCATTTAGGCGTATTTGCCTTCCTATTTTATAGCCCCTACTATTTATTCCCAACCCATCTGCATACCTTTTCTCGCATGTATTATGTCCCCCCCGTCGGATCACCCCCATGCGGCGCGCAGGAGAACCACCCGATTCACAGTTATCACGAAGAAAAAAGGGCTAAAGTAAAGGCCCCCTCAAAATAATATTACATATATATACATCTCCTCCAAAATGTATACATCTCCACCCGCCGAACTTGGGAAAGAATTATCCCCTCCCCCCATGGGGTACACATAACCTTATTATGCCATTAACTGCATATTCATTTATCTAGTTCTCTTTTACCCCCCTAGGGATAAGAAAAGAAAAAAAAATCCCCGAATGGCTTCTTTTCTCCATGTTCTTCATCTCTATCTATTCTCCTTCTCTTCCTTTTTTTTTCCCTTTTCTTTTTAACATTTTTTCCACCCTGTCAATATTACGTAATGATACATCTTGCATTAGGTATACGCCGGTTTCACTTTATTTAGAAGCACAAGTTGTGGGGTTACTTTAAGTTTTTTTTTTTTTTTTCTTTCCTTCACGCAACTCTCCCAGCAAGTTATTATTACCATTTAATGTGACACACAGGGGTAGCTTCATATATCACTAGGCGTGGCTACTTCTCTCAAAAAGGCTACATCAACACGGGGGTGTTTTATATGTACCTTCCAGAGGGAGAGCGTAAGTGGTACATTGTGCGGCTACTTATTTTGTCTCCGTCAGTCGGTACATTTATGTATATCTCTACTCCCTTCCGTTACGATGCCGCCCTGTTTTTACCGTGCGTGGAGTGGACTCTCCCCTTCTGATGTCCGCTACATTTTTCGCTTCACATCTGTGCCACTTCATCGCTAGGTGAAACAGTATAATTATACGGTACCGTCTTTACCCCTGTAGGGGTCAAAAGGAAGACATCCCATATGACCTGAACGTTCTTCGCAGTCATGCATTACGATGATCACCACTTTGTGCCGCTTATGTTACTGTGCCCCTTGTTCGAAGCGCCGAATTGGAAATATAAACTTATTCGCGTGTCCATGATGTTGAGAATGGCCTCCCCCACCCAAAATTTTTTAAGAAAGATTCCCCATGTCGACATTACTTCTCTGTGTACACCATGAGGGGGACCAGACGCGCACAGCTATGTGATCGTACCACTTTTCCCTCCACATGTTAAGGGTTATACTTTTCGTTCTTTGAAGCCTCCCTTTTTGGAGTTATCGGGGGTACAAGCACAGAGGCAAATATGTAATACTCCTGCCACGTTGTATGCGTGTGGCCGGATCTTATAGGTACCTTTGATTACCCCTTTCCCACAGCTAATGTGTACCGTTTTGGGAAGATAACTCTCCACTGCCTTGCTTCCCCCGTGGTAACTACTCCACACACGGATAACAAACCATTCTTTTAGACGCCGCTATTTTGCGGGATTATCATTCGTTTAAAGATAATTGTTAATAAAAAAAAAAAAAAAAAAGAAAAAAAAACGCGTTGCTTCTCTCCACTGGTACGTGTCCATACAAAGGAGAAATGCTGGTGCTTCACAAACGTGAGGGTGTCCTAACCGAAAGAGACAAATAAGTAATCGAACGAATTAATGACGCGTGAGTGAGATTTTACTTACAATTTTTTCTTGCCCCCCCTTAGGTGGGACAAAAAAAAGGCACTACGCGGCTACAAAAAATTCTTCATAGGGGGATGAAAGCTGCTTAACCGCAGAAAGTTCCCCATGGTGAAGGAAATTATGCTACTCCATTTGCTGCTTTTCCCCCCGGAAAGGCCCAAATGGAAATAAAAAAAGAAAGACAAAAGGGTATCTCCAGGCAAATACACGCGCCTGGTCGTGTCAGTAAAAGTGCCCGTGACTGTTGTGGAGGTTTCGCGAGTAGCCATTTGGAATTTGCTGCACTCTGAGGGGGAAAAAAAAAATAATACACATATACATATATATATGCATCTACGCATATGCGACGCGGGGGAGGTACACAGGTGTAGGTAGCACACCACGGGCGGAGTACGAAGCAAACTTTTCACACCCCCATGTGCATAATTCCACCCAAGTGCAGCTCCAAATGGAGAAATGGACGGGGCGAATTACCTAATAGTGGAGCGCTCGCTTTCTCTCATGTATATATATCTGTTTATCTGCAAGGGAAGAAAAAAAAAGAAAAGGAAAAAAAAAAATATCCTATGTCTATGACTCTTCCGCTTTCGTGTGATCTGTCCAGTCATGCGCGTCATCGCCTCGCTTGGTAAAATTATCCGCCAAATGAGACAACAAACGGATGGTGTTCCTTTCTTACGTCGTCCTTAAACACAAGCGAGTTCTTCAGCGTGTAGGAATGCTTCTTGTTCATTTCTTTTAGCCTCTCGACGGTGCCCATGAGGTTTTTGGTGAAGGTGTTCAGGTCCTGCGCGGGGTAAAGCGGTCATAAAGCGGTCGTAAAGCGATGATAGAGCGGTAGTAGAAGAATCCCAAATGGATGGCAAAATCCTCCAAAACAAATGAGCCAAAGAAGGCAGATTTTATAGTCACTCCGCTGCCCACGCGGGAGGTTCGCCTCGCCAGACCTACCTCGATCGTCTTAAAGTAGTCCAATTTGTTATACTCGTGATAGTAGTCATAGAACTGGTTGAGGCTTTTCTCGAAGGAGGAGACGCTTTCCTCCAATTTGGCTTTCTTGGCGATGAGGGCGGCTTTCTGCTTCTGCAGGAGGTCGTTCAGCTTGTCCTCGTCGCGTTCCTCCTGCGGGGGAGGGTACACGCGTGGAGAAGTGTTGAACTGGTGAAGAAGTGTCCAATTGGTGAAGAACCATGTGGAACGGCGCCAAGGGAGAAGACATTGGTGACAGGGCTACCCACAGCTGACGTCTCACACCGATAAACGTCTCACACCGATAAACGCCACACAGCGCTGCTCCACACCTACCGAGATGGAGTTAAGGAACACATCGTGCATGCTGCTCTTGAGCTCCTCCAGGTCGGCGCCGAAGTCGGTTAGCTGTATGCTCAGCGAAAAGTAAATGGCGAGGATGACGAAGAAGAGCTTCTCCTCCGAGTGCACATTGATGTAGTTATTCACAGCGTCATAGTGGAAGAGGTTCTTCTCGTTAACTCCGTTGCTATTTTGTGGTCCATAAGTCAAATTGTGACTCTTGAGGAAGGCATGAAAATCGAAGTAATTCAAGGATGGGGTGGTCCCATTGGACAACTCCGACAAATCGCCAATACTGCTGACCGAATTCGTCTCATTATCCCTCTCCTCAGACAGCAGATTCTTATAGTGCATATACTCCTGGTCCAAAGACTCAATATTTACATCGGTGCAGGTATTCAAATCGTCAACAATATATTTCACAAACGTCGATAAATCCATTTGACAAATCTGAAAGTGCATCTGATTGTCCTGAAGAAACTCTCGAAAGGATTCTACACTGGAGTGAATTTCTTCTAAAGATTTTTTAAAAATATTCAGGTGGTACAAAAAGGAATTATACGAATTAACCGATTCTTGATTGATCCCTACGTTTAGGAACTTCCTCTGGAATTCGACATGGTTCGTATGTTCCGCAGTCAGGCTATTCTCCACTTGGGTTAAAATTTCCTTCAAATTTTGTTCCATATTTTGTAAAAAAGTTAAGTTATTTTGGAAGTGACTAGGCTTATGTAGGTTCGTAATTTTATTATACGTGCTTATAATAACATTGTGCAGAGTCAGGAGGATATTTTTACGATAGCTCAAATTTATCAACTTGTACTGATCCCGTAGGGTTGAAAAATTCTTATAAAACGTGTCATACATAGGGGTAGCCTCCTTATTGTACAGATTGTAAACCAGCTCTGCCTTCTCATTAAAGAGTAACTTCAAACTGCAAGAGATATTGTCCCTCTTGATATAAATGGACGACACGTCTATATCCTTCAGTTTGAGGACCTCGGAAGTGCCTTTTATTTGGCTGAGACTCTCATAACTAGGAATGACTTCAAAATATATGTTCTTGTTTTCATACTCGAAGTAGTCTATGGCAGTGTTAATTTTTCCCCTTAGGGAGCTCAGATTAATGTTAAAGCTATACTTCCTGCAGAGGTCTACACACCTTTCAACGTTCTCCTGGCTGTACTTGAGTCGAGATATAATTTCTCCAATTTTGTCCAAATCGTATTTCTCAATCTTTAGATTATCCTCTGGGGTCGTCTCCGAATTTACAGTGGCGTATTTCAACGCTGTATGGAAATTACTAATACAAATAAAAATCATCTTGTTCACATGCACGAAGTTGTAAAATGGACTGTTGCTACTTCTGATATGATGCAAACTGGATTTTATCTCCGCTGAGGAGGAAATTTTCGACGGGTTCTTAAAAAATAAATGCAATTCCTTCCCTTCTAAACAGCGCAGTGCATTCTTAAAATGACAGTGTATATTGAAAGAAAGCTTTGCCAATAAGTTCCGCTTGTACTTCTTCGCCAGAGCTGTGTTGTAAAACATATTCTCATGATACGCCATAGATATACACAAAAAGACGTAACAGGTTACGCAGTTTATGTCTGGTAGTTCGGGAATTCTATCTTCATTCATCTGGACAAATAAATAATTAAATATCTCCACCACGTCGTTGGACATTCTATTCAACATCTTGACGTCATCGGAACTCTTTTTCATTTTTAACAAAGCCGCTGCTACAAGGCCGATATTAAATATGATCAAAATGTGTTCCTTCTCAAATTCGTACTCCACTCTTTTATACTCATCAAATGCGTCATTCGTCCATAGCAATTTTTTTTTCTCCTTCAATAAATTCTTTTTTCGGAACGTCTCGAAGTAAAATAAATACTCCTTGTACAATTTTAGCAAATTTCCATTAACCCCTTTGTTTTGCATTGCTATTATTTTTTCTCTCAGTTTGGAGAAGTCTTCGATTTCTTCGTCGAAGCGGTACTCTTGTTTTTTCGCTAGCTCCTTCAAGTTTGTGTAAATGATCTTCCCGATGGGCACCGTCCCGTGCAGCATCTTCAGGTGCGCGAAGTCGCACACCATCTGCATTTTGATTGGTTAGCGGTAGGGGGAGGAGAAGTGCTTTGCTGGATAGGGGCGGTGTGGGCGCTTTGCCAGATGTGCGAGGTGAGGGGGCTTTGCCTGGTACACTTGCTCAGAGCTTCTTCCCCCGGTGTAGTCCTTTGGAGCCCCTTTCCCCCGTGTGCGTGGCAACGCAGAATGGGAGTTTTCCCCCGGGATGGAAGACCTCTACTCAGACTTCACCGCCGCGCAGAGAAGCACGCTGCGATGTGGAGGGCTCGGCGTGGCCAATTCCGTCCACCCTCTCTGCAAGCAGTTACGAAGGTGTCAGAACTGTTCGCTTGTTTGTTGAGGTGGGCTCAAGCAGCGGCAACGAAGGGACAGAAATAAGGAGTAAAAAGAAGTCAAATGAAGGCACAAAAAGAAGAGGCAAAAACAAAGGGCAAAAAAAAGAGGCCAAATGAAGGCGCAAAAACTGCCTGGAAATTTGGTGGAAAATTTGCTCAAACGAGAGGGCAACAATTCGCGCTTTCCTGCGTTCGCACTGGTGTGGGCGCGTATTTTTTACGCATCCATTCGCGGCGTTTCTCAAAAATGTTTCCCTCGGCCTGTCAACATGTGCACTTGTTCGTCTCATCTGTTCAAATGGTTATTTTTTTAGCTCGTGCGAAAACTGGGAGGATCAAAAAACCGCAAAGCAAAAATGTACTCATTTTTTGCTAAAATGAATTGACAGTGTACACGGTTGCACGTTTTTTTTTTTTTTTTTTTTTCCTGTCCGCGATGTTTCATGAGGTGAAGCACATGAGAACATTTTTTTTCACGTGAATACATATGTGCATCGTTACATAAGCACATTTCTTGATTGCATATTTGCGAGTGTACCTGTGGACGCATGTACAAAGGGGAGCTGGACAAAAGCCAAACGTTAATACACCCAACGGGTGTGCTTAGCGGACCGCGTTCAATTCGCCAATTCTTAACAACTTCGCAAGATCGAAAAGGGGGAAAAGGAAAAAAAACTTGGTACAAATTTTTAAGTCACAATTGGTCAGTATCAAAAATATGCATGTTGATTTATTTATTTCGTTCCATAGCGTATGAACATTTGATGTAACCCCTTCGTGGAAGAACCATTTATTTTATTTTTTTTTCTTATTTTTCTTATTTTTCCAAAGTGAAAAGAGCATGACGTGAGGGGTGACGCGGCATGGCGGGGAATTCCCAGGTTGGCGGCCGATCAGGGGGAAGACAGAACAGCGGTGGGCTGACCAACGGGGGCCCATCCTCAGCAGCTGTGCAAACTCGGATGGGAATTTCTTAAAGCACGCAGGGGAGACCTTTTACGAATTATTCGAGAATTACTTACGAATTACTTTTTTAAAAGGAATAGAAAGGGCACCACTCAGTGTGTTCTCCGCATAGGCCGCGTCATTTTGCAGAGTTGAATTTGTCTGAATGTCCAATGGGAAACGCAAAGTTACGCGCAAAGTGAGGCAAAGTGCGCCAACTTGACGCAACATAACGCAGCGTGACGCAGTGTGAACTCACCCCAAGGGGTCAAAAATGAGCGCTTCCTTTTGCCACCCAACTGGGGAATCCACAATGGCCTCACGGAGAAACATACACATAAACACCTGCACTTTCCCCTTTTCCCGTGCACACGCATTTGATGAGTCTTCACCCCAAATGCAAAAGTGGAAAGAATGGACACGTTTTACGTGAACCGCTGTACGGTAGACCGACAGTGCAGTGTTGCGCGGGGGAATTTTCCAAACAAACGGAAAAAAAAAAATACAACATTGGGCACACACCCCACGTGGCACTGCATTTGGAAAATTATGACTCATTTGAATATGTACCTCTTGAGAAAGCAGTCAGCAGAAACGCAGACCTTTCTCCGCGCAAAAATTATCCGCTTTTACAGCATTGAGCTTTTCTTATTCATAACGGCGGAGAGGGAAGAGTTCCGCTTGCTCATTTTTAAGGAATTCTCATTCAAGTGTCACCCAGTTTTCACCTGACCCGTTCAGGCAAAAGTTGCGGATTTTTTTTTTTTTTTAAACATTACAGCTATTTTAGCGATTTAATCTTCTCTTTAAAACGAAATGCGTGTGGGGAGTGGCCCCAAGGAGAGTTTCCTCCGCAGTGTATTACTTCAAACGAGATGCCAATTCCTATATGCGGTACTTCCAAAGTGCACCAATGTATCATCCGCCTGAAGCGAGAAAACACCACAACACTTCGACTTTTTTAAAAGGCGAAATTTGTTAACATCTTCGAAATAATGGAAGGGGCATAATAACAGCCGTTAAACTGAAGAGAACGAGGGAAAGGCAACCCCATTTTGTTGTTAGACCCCCTTTTTTTTTTTTCTTTTTTATTGCCAAGGAAAATGGCGAGTACCCCTGCGCAGTTGCACTGCTGCGATGAGGAAAGTTCCATGCCGAAGTAAGCAACAAATTTCCAAAGGCAACTCTGGTTTGTTCATTGGGTGTGTGCCTCTTCGGGAGTACATATGCCTGCCATCGGCGAGTACATGGACGTGCTTCTTTCTGGTGGAGGAGACTGGTCTATTTTGCTTTTAGCAAACTGCAACCTTGACACATTTCACGAACATTTTTACCGTCTTTCCTTCCCTTTTTTTTCTGAAATGACGAAGCATGTCCAGCCTGGCCACTTGTTCTGTTCTGTTTCGTTTAACCGCTCGAAGGGTCCATGTGTGTGGGGTGGTGGCGAGGAATCTCCCTACGTTCGCCAATATCTCTGTCGTGTATGTGTGTACGTATCATTATCTGCTCGAGTTGACGCGCAAATGGTATTGCTCGTGTGTTATGATGCAGATACTGGGCACACGCACTGACGTGTAACTTGTGTATGCACTATGTTTTTTTTTTTTTTTCCCAACACGTTCATTTCAGATTTAAAGTCGCTTAAACGTTTAAATCGCGAAAATTTCGAAGTTTCGAAAATTTGGAAATTTCGAAAATTTGGAAGTTTTGGAAATTTGAAAATTTGATATGCTGCCAACATTTAAAGAACTTGGAATTTTCAGAATTGAACTTGAAACATTTTCGAACATTTCAAAATTGAACATTTCAACATTTGGAATTTTTCAGATTTTTCATTTTTTTCGAATTTTTCCAAGTTCCCGCTTCCCCCCAAAAAAAAAAGCTTTACAAAAATTAGTTCATCTTTGCGCGCATAGACATACGAGCCCCTGCGCGTACCTACACTTGTGCATACACGCGTAGTTCTCTTCATTCACATATAACATGCATGCATCCGCGCGTACGTTTACTTTGAACATGGTTTTTCCGCTCGTTCCCCTTCTTTTTGCTTGAAATTTTACAACCCTTTTAATTTTAAACCATCCAAGCAAGCCACGTAGTTAAAAAATAAAATGGATATTTTCAACTGCCAATACTGCTCAGTGTCTCCTTTCGATTACATCTTAGATTTTATCTATGGCGAGAAGCCGCCGAAAAAGGAGGAAAAAAAAAGTTCCAATGTGACGTACGACGTAACCGCAAAAAAAAAAATAAATAACACCTCATGGGTGGATCGGCAGCAAATTGGTGGAAACGCGAGTGGCGGCATTGGGGGGGTGTAATAGGGGCAAACAGGTGGCCCTACTGGCCCTTGTACTGCCGAGTGTACTGGTGCCAAACGGGTGTCCGTACTGATGGCCGTACCGGTGGATATTCAGGGAGCAAAAGGGGCAAGCGGAATGGCACACCTGCACCGCAACGCGCGCCGAAAGGGTTCACACATACACCTGTGCATGAACCCACTGTCTTTCACTTACCCCCCCTCCGATCAGGATAGCACCAGTAATAACGTATCTCAGGCTTTGTCCAAAGTAGGAGATCAAGTGCAGAAAAGATCCACTAATGAAATTTTGCTCCTATGTCGAGCATGGGAGAATTACGTGCACCCCAGGGCCAAGGAATACTGGAAGGATTCCCAGCAACTTCAAAATATTTTATGTAGGGAGGGAAAAGAGGAGGGAACCTTCCACCCCCCTTGACGAGAACACCTGCCAAAGCGCTCTTCCCCTATGGACCCATTTAATAACCGCACGCTGACCAAATTGTAACCCCACCTTTTGTGCATCCCATACCTCCTCAGGCAAAATTGCAAACGGCATCACCAAAAATGACGACCCCATTTTGGGAGATGACTATGCGTGTGTCTTCTGGTACGGGGATAAGAACAAGAATGACAACTGCCCCATCATATCGGTGAAAAAGGGGAATGACAACGTGGAGACCATCACGTATGTTAACCGAGTGCTCATTTTTCTGTATGCAGGTTAAGTTCGTTTGACGTGCATAGCAGCGTGGATATATGTCTGCATATGAGCGTATATATACGTCTGTACACCTACGTGCTGGCTTCTATTCGAATCTTTGTGCTGCATGCTGGCCCCTCAAAACGCGTCCCACCCCCATTGAAATCCCCCCCCTGTAGACGAAGCCAGCTTTCAGGAGCTGCAGAAGAAGCCGAAGAAGGCCTTTACGATGGCGTGCGGGAACATTAACTGCATCAATTTGACGCACATTTCTCTGGACGATTAGGCTAGTGCGGGTTAACAGCGCCAGGAGATGCTTCTAGGGCTACTGCGGAGGTGGTCGAAGCGAGGAGCAGTCGAAGGAGCGCAGCTTCCTAGCGGTATCAACTGAGCACTGGCGAAGGCCGCTTTCCGAGAGAATTTTACATACGGCTCTCCGCGCCACACCAATGAGGAGTCAATAAACGGCCATTTTCTTCATGTGCAAAACGAATTAGTACACATCGAAAGAAGTTGCACTTGAATGAGATCATCTGACACGGAAGCATTAATATCGAAGAGATGCCCATTTGCCTGGTTGGGGGGATTTCTCCATGTTGGCCTTAACCCTAGCACCTCGTATTTTAACCCCCTCCTTTGTTTTTCAATCCCACCCCCTTTTTAATCAATTTAAAGAAGAACTTTCAAAGCACCCAATCAATGTTTTGTTTGTATATATGTGCACATAACGGAAGGGTGCATGTGTATATAGGCTCATTTTTTTTTTAAGTAATTCGCTGTTTGATACGTACGCATTTGCTAGTACGTATGTATGTGCATGTCGGTACGTACCCATCTGCATGTACGCACCTGTCGGGCGCGCGCATGCCGTTGTGTTTGTGCCCACCGTCACCTGCCCATGCGCCGACGTCCCATTCGCCCACACGTGCGTACCTTCCCTACCCAGCATTTTTAATGAATAATTTTTTTAAATTTTTTCTTTTTTTTGAACCTACGTTACTTTAAAAGTGTACACGAGTTACGCGCCTGTGCGGATGCTGATAGGTACACACACATGCACACGGCATGGTTACCCCCTTGTGTTGTCAAAAGTATGTCAATTTTAATAAAGCGTGAGGATCTTTTCGGTCATTATGTGGTGGAAAGGATCTACGTAGCAAAGATGGTTACGCTTGTTTTGTAGTAGAAGTTGGAAGGGGGGGGTCTTCCCACCGTCTCTTAATGCACACTTTTGAGTGACACATCGATGAGGCGATAACACCACAATCACACCCTCGCAAGGAAGTTGGTTCCCATCATGGAAGGGGGGCGAGCGTAAGTCCATCCACCGCCTGATTCGGACGCGTATCATTTTTTACTCCATAGTACGCATTCGTCACAGTAGTCGCATCGTGTTCCTTCACTCCGCGCATATTAATGCACAAATGTCTTGCCACAACATTGACGTGAATATATTTAGGCTTCAAATATCTCCCCAAAGCGTTACAAATGTCATTGGTTAAATCTTCCTGTAGCTGTAACCTCCTAGCGAATATGTCGATAACTCTCGCAAATTTGGACAGACCCATAATATATCTGTTGGGGACATACTCGATGGTGCACTCTCCTTCGAATGGCAACAGATGATGTTTGCACAGAGAGTAAATATGAATGCCACTTATCTTGATGAGGGAACTATTTTTGTAATTTCTCTTGTACAGAGATTTTCTTATAACTTTTCCTACGTTCATATGGTACCCTTTTGTTAAGTACAGAAAGGTATCCGAAAATCTGCGGCTCGTCCTTTTGAGTATTTCTTTTGGGGGCACATTGGAGGATCGTAAAATGTTGTTAATGCTTTTTCTTATGTCTGCTATTTGGGCCTGTTTTTGTGCCCGTTTCTGCGCCTTCTTCTGTGCCCGCTTGCGTTCCTGCTTCTTTGTGCCATCCTTTTCGTCACTTTTTCGGGGAGTGTCTGCACTGTTACGTTCGCTGCCCCGCATGGGAGGGGAAGCCTCCCGATTGGTGTCACCACCACTGGAGTTACCACTACTCCCATCACGGCTACTCCCATCACCGCTGCCCCCCTGATCGTCCTTCTTCTCCACCCTTTTGATCACCTTCCTCCGCACCCCATTGATGACCCCATTGACAACCCCTTTGACTAGGCCATTTTTCCCCTCCATACAGATAGCACACGGGGAGGGTGCCTCCGTGGAGTTCCCAGAGTTGTCTCGGCGGGTCTTCCCCAAACCCGCCTCTTCACTAAGACGGCTTAGTACCCCTGCGTTGGTCGGACCATCCGTCATTTTTTCGATCTTCCCCGAAATGCTAATGCCATTATAACGCAATTGCCTATCCTTGTTGACAAAGCTACACCTAGACTGACTTGTGTAGGCCAGATGCTCATCCCCATCTCGGCAATTATTCGATCTTCCGCATCCTCTTCCCCTTACGCCATTCTCTTCAAGACCATTCTGGACCGGGAACAACCCTAACCCTAAATTGGTCTTCATAGGGCTAATGCTCAATACGGATTTGCGGCTCTCTTGTAGGTCTTCACTTCCATCTGCACCTACCAACTGAGAATCCTTAACGGGTGCTTCACTCGGCATGCATCTTCTCTGCTCATACGTCTCAACACTATCTACGCCACGGTGACTCCCCCCATTGAGATCCCCTCGCTTGAACATGATAAGTGGAAGGGGAATGGATAATATATGTGTCACTTCTTATCACAGGCTGAGGCAGCCGAGAGCAGATAAATTGAACTCTCCTACTCAAAAGTAGGGATCACCATAGCAGATGCATCTGTATGTTCTGTTTCTACATCTAGGTGGATATAGTCACACTTCTACTCAATGCAACGCAATGTCATTAAGGGGAGAAAAAAAAAAAAAAAAAAAAAAAAAAAAGAGCAACCTGTGGAGAGAAATATCCCTTCTTCCTCAAGTGTGAGGTAACCAGATATGTGAGGGGCAGGGGTGACCTTAGCTCACCATTCTACATGCAAATAAACTGATTGGTTCATTTCTTCGGTGGAGCGACGGGTTATGCGTGGGGACATTTATAGAAGTACCGCCTACACGAAGTCGTCGCGCATGGTACACTGAATTATGCTCTCTTTCGGAATGACTCCTCACGCGTGTCGCTCCTATGCAGTTACTACGTGCCCCCTTTTTTTTTGTCCCTATCCCTGCACCGTAATGCCTCCGCGCCAATAAATTTTTCCCCGCTTTGGAAAAAATTATCGCGGCGTGCAGCAACGGCTAGCTACCCCACGAAAGTATAGGATAAGGGGAAAAAAAAAAAGTACACGATAGGTACCACACCAAAGTGCAGAAAAAGAAGCGAAAATTTATGAGAAGCGCGCGCTATCACAACTGAACACATTTTAATGATGAGAGAAATGAAAAGAGAAGGAACTCACGTGTGCTTTAAGTTAACGCATGACGGAGGGAGAACTCCTCAGCTGGGGTAGTGGAAAACCATTTTGGTTTCTTTGCTGGACAAAGAATCGAATAGAAAAGTCACACCACTGGGACAGAGAAAATCACTTCGGAAAGGGGCCTTTCCATCGTTCCCCACACACCGGTTCGTAAAACTGCAGTGCGAGACCTTCATCGCAGATGCGTATGCCAATTTTATGTTACACGTTTTGACGTAACGGAGAGATGTGCATCTGTGGAAGAAGCCACCCAACACGTTCGTCGCACAATCCAGAGTAGTTGGGGGGAACTACAGGCTCATTTTCGCGAGTGGGGGTGGTCAGTTAGCCACGTGGACATACGGCTCAGTACCTACGTCGGTAGTTCCCTTCGTAGCTGCCTCTCTATCCACGTGACTACCTACTTGGCCACGTCGGCACTCGCCGCTCCCCCCTCAACATGTCCCGGTATGTGAAGTACTTTATGCAGGCCAAGCGGCTCGATAAGCGAAAAAGAAAATACGGCCAGCTCGACTTCTTAGAACTAAGCAAAGAGCTGAGCATCCCTTTCCCCCTGCGAGAAAGAAATCAACCCAAGCACCTAGACCTATCAAAATACCTAAATATAAAAGTGGGAGACCTCGTTAAAGTACTGTATGGACCCTACAAAGACAGAGAAGGCATCGTCTTAAACATAAACACAAAAAGGAATACTGTAATTGTTGACGGATGTAATATGAAAAAATCCGCATGGAATGTCACAAGGAAAAATGACGGTTCAATTATAACACAGGAAATGCCTATACATATTACAAACGTGGCTATACTAGACCCGATAAGTAAAAAGGCAACGGTGGTTAAGAGGAGATACATGATGAATGGAGAATGTGTGCGCATATCGAAGATCTCCGGGTGTGCCATGCCGGAACCTGTTAATGTGCAAGCGTTAAAGGAGCAGAATAACTATGAGCTTTTTATTCACAAGAAGAAGACGGGACCTCCCATTAAAGACATTTACGCGGAGAGAGACTCCAAAAACTTTAATTTGCTGAAGAAGATAGCCTACGAGATTAAGAAAAAGAGGTTCTACGAAATGAAGAACTTTTTCAATAGAGACTCTCCGGGGCAAGGGAGCTCTTCTCTGGAGGGGTAGTATCCCCTTTGCTCGCTCCACGTGTACATCTTAGAGGAAGCGGCGCCCCCTTACGCTCCATCTCTCCATGCGTACCTACAGTACATGCCTTTTCCCTATAAGTCGAAATAGCGGTGGATCGGAACCTTCACCTGATGGGTCTCCTCCCAAATAGTTAATGAATCTCGTGCGAGATGCACAACAAAGTGTACCTACCGTGGGTTATATGCCTCCACGGGTGACTACAGGAGAATCGTCAAGGTGGACTGGACCCATATGTCTTGTGCCTCTTCCTGCATGCATACTTCACTAACGGGTTGGGTAGCAGCTGACTAGCAGTGGCACCAATTATAGTTAGGCCTCTGCACAAGGAGTCGAATGGGTCTACCCCGAGTCCCATGAGAAAAAAGTACAAAAGGACTTGTGGTGATGGCTACATAGCGCTGTACAGCTGACGCACCGCTTAACAACTAGAATGAAGAACCCCCCCCACTAACAATATTTGTTCAGAATTTTAACCCCCGTGACCATAAATAGGGTCTGCCAGATGCACAGGAAGCATCGGGGGATGACCCCTTTGTAAAGGTACAGGATCCCTCCCTCCCGGTAAAGATTAACAAATGACTGAAAGAACGTCAGCTTGATGTTCTTATTCGCGCTATTCTGCATGTACACTCGAATCACGTCGAATGGGTTGTTCCAGACCGACAGGGCTCCTCCGAGGACACCACAGAGGAGCTCTTCCGTGGGGGATAAATCGTGGGTAGTACCTCCCGGTTTGTCTAACGAGTGATTGGTGTCCTTCGTCGGGGTGGACCGATAAACTTGACTCCGCTCATCCGTAAGTTCATTTTTCAAGCCTGCCTGTCCCTTCCTCTTCCGCTCGATAAATAAGTTGCGGATCCACTCAGTTATGCCCTGCCGGCTGGCCCAATTCGTCCCCTGTCGCAAGCACATGGCACTGTTTCCCTTATACAGGGTGGTAAATCCTTTGTTTTTAAAAATATCCACAACTTTTTCCCTATAATTAATCTTCTTGTCAATGCTGGCAGTTATAAAAAAGGTACACGGAGTCATCACGAAGGATTGACAAATGCCTCCAGTAGCTCCACCGATAAAGCCATTTGTCGTTTTGTTCATATTCAAATCATTACAAAATTTAATCATGTGTTCTTTTGATATTAACAGGACGGCTCCTTTGGAGGAGCTCTCTACTAGCTTCGCGTAAAAACCGGCGTAGAACTGCCCAATCCCTTTATTGTAAATGTTGGCAAAAGATCTGATGGTGTTTTCGTTCCTGTACACGCACATCCTCGTCTTCCACACCTCCAGGGGCATCCCTAGGCTCGCCGTTTCCAGGCAGTGTAGGATGGACCCGTTCATCAACTCTCTGCTCATTTTTTCGGCTCCTCGCGTCTGTTTCTCAATCTGTCTGTCTGGGTGTCAACATAGACGTATTCGTATGTATGGAAGTACTTTATTGCTTCCCCTTTTTTTCTTTTCCTGGGGGAGCGGCTCCCGCGCAGTAGATTGTTAATCTGGTTATGTGGGCGGCTTCGAACTGGCGTGGATTTGATGCGGGGTCCTACGTGCAGAACGTTCCTCAACCCAAGCGACCACACTGAACTGGAAAAGAGGCCTTATAACACAACTACAGAGGCCACTCCATAGCAATTGTTCTAGGAGCCGCTTATACACAGATGGTACCACCAGAGAATATCACCACAAATAGAAGGCTCCGCCCCATGTGGACTATTCCTCGTCAATGATGATCAGCATAACGCACATTGCCTAGCAGATGGGGAAACTCCACACGGAGGAAGGAAGCACCTATATCTCTTTTTCATACATAGTAAAATTGCCTCTTCCTTTCTCTTCCATGCATCTCGATGGAGTTACACTCAAGGAGGTCTTCTTGTGCGTGGCTCCGAGGTGCCCTTTTTTCCAAACATTCTCAGGAGTAACAGCGCTGCTGTGGTTAGACTGCCTATTCGTTGGCACGGAAAACGGTTTGACAAAATGGAAGGGGACACGAACTGGCTTACCCTCCTCTGGTTATCACCTCCCGCACTTTTCAGACTCACGCAGCGGTGATTTCGTATCGACCCTTTCGTTTCTTCCTTCCAGTTTAACTTCCTCAAAATGGATACAAAACGGCTGAGTAAACCTCTGCGTGTATAGCTATACCCCAGGGGAAGCAGAAATCACCAAACGGCATAATCGCGTTCCTAATTTATTTCTGCACAGCATGTGCCTAAAAAGGGAAAACACGTTGCAACGTTTTTTTTTTCTTCCTCTCCCTTTTGCAGTACACAACGGAGATTAAGTCACCAGCGGGAGCAGTGTTAATATGGCTTCCCCTTCTTTTTCAAAAAATTGCAATCGGCCCCGTGTGGTCAAGTTCGCCTATGCAAGTAGCGTTTCCGCGCAGGGACAAGTTACATGCATATCCGATTCTACAGCGCAACTGTAGGAGCTTATGAAAAAGTGCATGCCAACTGTTACAATGCCATTATGTGTGCTCCTGCCGCGGGTTCCCCTCACCGCCCACCATATCGGACACAGAAAAATGTACAAAGCAGTGTGACGATCAGCTGAGGGAAGAGGGATTCCATATGACGTGAAAAAAAAGAAAAAAAAAATGAGAAGTCCCTCCACTGGCAACTTGCGGTACGTATCTTCGCACCCGCACATCCGCGCACTTCTTTCAAGTTCGCCATTTTGGGGAGGGATGCTGTACATAGAGCTGCATCAAGACAATCTGTTTACAGAAAAATTCGATTTGTAAAAGTATGGGGCACTGTGCAAAATGGATGTCACGTGGAACTTTCCCCCTTTGGGGTTTAGGCGCCAGCTAGCGGAAGGAGACTAGCATAACGTGAGTGCGGCATGGGGGGAGATGTATACAATTGGCGGAGCAAAGGTGACGCCGCAAAATAGAGGCTGAGATCAACGGGTGGACAAAAAAAAAGGATGGCAAAAAAATTAAGGCATGGAAAAAGGGGCGATGATGCAGTGCGGAAAAGTAGGAAGAAGACGCCTGTCGAAGGGGTCCTCCCGTGTTTTCCATCCGCATGGAAAGCACAAAGGGGAGGTGTATCAATCCAAAGGAGGAAAAAACCCTCAATTTGTCTAACGTCCGAATCAGTCGGCGATCTTGTTTTTAAGCAGAATTCCCAGGAGGAATGGGACCATTCCGGCAATGGATCCATTGAAGACCATGCAGAGGGCGCAGTTGATGGGTTTCTGGTTGGTGAACTGGGACTGCAGGGGGGTGGAAGAGGTGGAAAAAGACGGTGAAAGAAGTGGAGAAAAAGAAACACTTGAGAGGGAGTCATTTCCGCTTCTCCTCCCTGCATGCACATCAACACGCGGACTTCCCACGACGTATGTGTAGCCGCCCTCGCCGCGCCGGCCAAGCCGTGCCCACCTTAAATATGCCCAGGATGAAGAGTGTAATCAAGGTGGACACAAAAACAACGACGAAGGAGGTATTATAATCTGTATACTCGAAGAAAAACGTGTAGGCCACGTAGGAGCACAAAGGAATCATTCCGAATACACAAAAACTTAAAAACATGAGAGTTCCTTTTTTCAAAGACTCGTTCTTGTCCTCGTGAGTGACAATCAGTCCCAATTCCTCTGACATCATGTGCTCCAAAAAAAAATTTTTATTTCGGAATGTTATCTCCACAAGGTTTCTCGCATCCTCACTGTCAAATTTGTACTTGTTCATATATATGTCAATCATTTCTTGCTTTTCCTCGGATGGACAATTTTCGATTTCCCATTCTTCCCTTTTTTTCTCAGCTAACATAAAATCCCTCTGTGCAGCAGTGCTGGTGTATTCGCTAAAGCCCATCGAAATTGCGTTTGCAAATAAATTGCCTACTCCAATAATTATGACCTGTGCAGGTGTTATTTTTGCTCCTACGCACCCGGAGACGATAGCGAAGATGGTGATGATTCCATCGAGACTTCCAAATATGATCGTCTTCAAATTGTCTCTATCCAGACTGTGCTGCTCTCCATGTTTGTCCAGGCTGTGGTACGAATCATGAGCCTCCTTGGACTTGTCCACGTCTTCGTCGTAGAAGGCCTTTCGCGCCTCCAGCGTTTTCTTGCTCACCATGGTGTGTGGGGGGGGCACAAATTCGCAGATACACCTGTGAAGGTACATGCACATAGGCATATGTACGTGTGGACGGGTCACCTCCTCATACAGCAAGGCCACCCAATCCTCGTAAACACCGTGCTGTGTTGCGCGCTGGCGGAAAAGACGCGAAAGAATGACTTACTGTGGGGAATGGAGCGTATTCAAGGTGAGCGCCTTGGAAGGACCATCAACTTTGTCGCGTTACTGCTATGTTCTTGTGGTTTGTTACCGTTATGTTCTTGTGGTGTGTTACCGCTATGTCCTTGTGGCGTATCACCGCTATGTCCATGTGGCGTGTTACTGCTACGTTTCCGTGCAGTGTTATTATTGCTTGCTCATGATACGTTATTACTGCTTCCCTACCGTGCGCTCACATTTTAGTGCTTCTCTAAAATGCTTCGTGGCTAGGCTCACCTTCTGTGCCGTCCTCCTAGTCTTCTTCGCGTGGGGGGTTCTCTCTTTTTGGCAAGGCAGTCAAATGGGGAAAAGGCAGGCGCGGGTAGGGGGTAATTTTATTCAAACCTAGAACAGGGGTTTTCCAATGTAATCGTCAGTAGGTCATTGCCTAGTGGGGCACGCAAGGACCTATGGCATGTTTACACTCTAGGGTTAAGCACACGCGTGCACATGGAGAAGTATAACTGCGGCGAGCTTTTTATGCAATTCTTAGGAAAACTGCTTCAATTTTCTTGTTATTTTGTATGATATCGTGCCAGTTCTTACCACTTCCTGTTACTGCGTGTTACTCCGTGGTACGCCTTGCCACTTCTTGCTACTCCTTGCCACTTGTTGCCATTTTTTTTTTGCAAGGCTTGCCCAAAGGTGATTGACGGCCTCCTTTGCACCTTAGGGTGACTTCCAGCAACAGGGACCCTCGCAAAGAAAAAACCCTCTACGCAATTTTGAAAGCTCAAACGCGCGCGTACACCTGGGGGCTTAATGACAACCTCTTCAGCTTAATGGAAAAAAAAAAAATTGTGGATAGATTTGGGGGTTACTTTAAAAGACTTAAGAGGGGTAAAACCTACCTATGTTGAAGCAGAAACATGCTAGAGACTTGTTTTTTTTTTCTGACCGTCCCAATTTTTCTCCAAAAATTGAGCTGCCACAATTATACCATCTGGCGTATGTATGTATATTTTCCTCGTGATGATGATCCTACCTCTCCCATTTTGTACTTGTCTTGCCTAACTTTTCTTTGCGCCTAGTGGAGCTGTTAATAAGGGGCAACATGGGGTTATTCTCCGTTTAGATGCCCTCTTTTTGTCATTCTGTTGGCACAGGGGGAGCGGCAACAGGGCGGCCTACCCACCCAGGACTATGTCATCTCGCGCAGCGTCAGAGGGATTGCTTGGTCGCGCCCCCGAAAGAGTATCGCTCGAAGTTAAGGGGTTCGCTATTCCATCGTTTAGCTGTTTTTCCATGCTGCGCTTCCTCCATTGGGGGGTTGTTGTTTCTTCTTCTCCCTCCACGGCACGAAGTTAGAGAACCATATTTGGAACGATGCAGTGTGCAAGTCGCCCCAAGCTGCGCACACACGGTGGGAGGGTAACTCGCTTGTGTTATCCCCCTTCATAAGGCACTCTCGTGGTGTGGATGCTCAATTTTCTGGTGGCTCCATTTTTCCAAAACGAACTCTCAGGAGAAGAGCATTTTGCATGTCCCTTGCGAGGACCCTCCATAGACAGTATTTTCACATACTCATAGCCTCTTTCTATACATATGAATCTCCCACTGTGATGAGGAGGCAAATGGTTTCTGCACTCGCTGAGAGGCACAAAAAGGTGCAACGATGAGTGACGCATCAGTGTGTAAGCTGGGCCCCGATTTTTCCGAATACATGAGAATAAGTCGCACCCTCTCTCCCAAGACACAATGGAAGAAGGTCTACTCGAAGGGAAGCCAAGAAGTCCCCCCTATAACGCTGAGTACTATGAAAATTTAATCAAACGGGAAAGAAATGACAGCCTCACTGGAAGTTGCCACCAACCGAACGAAGCAAGTGGCAATGATGGCGCAATGAAGAGACATCCCCACAAGAGAGAAGAAAACAAATCGACGAAAAATGAAAAAAATAAATGTATCATATTTTCTACCCTGCTAAGATATAAAAAATATTTAACGAAAAAAGGGAACACTTATTTCGACTTCAACCAAACAAATTTAATGATGAACGAGAAGGAACTTTTACTCCAGAGCAGCAACTACTTTCACCTCTTTGACATAAGTTCTCTCTTCTACCCCCATGTGTACGTTAATGTCCATTCGCACATGAGTGTCAACATATCAGATTATTTGAATTACGTGAAGAGGGTATCCCCAGAGGAGATCGAAGGGAGGGGCTCCTCAGGGAAGGACCCCCCAGTGAAGCAATCCTCAGTGGAGGCGACCCCAATTTTGCAGTACGCCACCCGGCAGGAGTTCATTATGGAAGCCATCCAAAAAGTGGAGCACATAGAAGTGTAAGAGTGCATCTTTGAGGGAAAAAAGCAACTCACCGGGGGTGGAAGTTGACTCGCACACAGTGGAGCACCGAATTGGACTGTTCTGTTTGCTTTGCTCTTTCCCTTTTACTGCTTGTCTTTTTGTTTGCCACGCTGTGAGTCATCACCAAAGGTGTTCACATTGCACACGTCGCAGTAGATCATCTGTTCTTCCGTTTCTTCTCCTCATTTTTCTACACATTTTTCTCCTAATTTTTTCACTTTTTTTTTCCCCATTTTTTCACCCTTCTTTTTTCCCCCTTGGTAGGTTCAAAAAAGTGCAGCTCGTGAAGAAGCTACTCCTAACGGTGAACAGGGAGGTAGCCCAGAAGGTCGAGACCTACGTGGACAACATCCTGGAAGTGAACCCAAACGACTACATCTTCGTGCAGACCAACCGAAAGAATGATCTCCTCTTTGGCTACGTGAAAAGTAGCAAGTTTAATTTAATCTTCGAAATTTTCAATTTTAACAAATTTTTTAAAAAATGCCACGAGGATAATGTAGACATAACTGTACACGAGGTGAAGGATAAAGGATCCGATGAGCAAAGTTTTGTTGAGCGGCTCGGCACCGAAGGAGGGATATATCTTAAGGAGCAGTCTATTCATGTGAAAAGGGACGTTTACCAGAACGTTAAATTCTGTTCCGCTCACTACTGCTATTATTACTTCTTTAAAAATGCCCCTGTGAAGTGCATTTTTGAGGAAGGAAAAAGCAGAAAAAAAATCTTCACATTTAGTCTCTGCGTAAAGTACGTAAAGAATCATCTCTTCGTCATGATGCTATTCAATTATAGCCCCCCCCGGGAAGGTGACAAACATTGTGTCAACGCGGAAGCAGCCGTCCCTGACTTGGATGAAATCGACACACACAACAAACAGTTTAACCTCAACGAGACAGACAAAAATGTATTCAAAAGGAACACCTTTTTTGTACATCATCTGTATGACGAGTTAAAGTGCAAATTGTTGAGTCTTATCAGTTTTGTCAGCTTCCCCCCAAATGATTACATTGCAGATATTCATTTGACCAAACTGAACAAGTGTAATGATTCTTCCCCAGGAGGCTACTCCTTCAGTGTGTACTGCTTATCCAATGGAGGGGTCGTCTATATTTTTATTTTCACCATGATGATAGATAACCTTTGTAAGGATTCCTTCCAATTGCACGTCAACAAGTATTACCATTTTGAGCTAAGGAGAAAGGACACTTACCAAAGCGTCAAAGTTGTCAAGTGCAGCTCAGGGTTCCTCGGCGCTCTCTGTGGGGGGGGACCCCAAAGGCGAACGAAGAGGAAGGTCAACCGAAAGAGGACCAACTCACCAGGGGAGCAATCCCCGCCGAACAACAAATGGGAAATACCCCATACGTTAGAGGAAGAAACCATTGCACCGCTCCAAAGTGACAACCTTTGTGAAGCGCGAGGGAATATAATTTGCTCTCGTACCAGCTGGGGTGGAAACAAACCTACCCATGCAAGCACCCAAATGGAAAAGTACAAATACCTCTTCTTGATAATAACGAGCAAGTGCGACTTCTTTATTGTCACCTTCAGGAGGAAGAAAAAAGGAGGGGACATTGAATTGGTAAATTATTCCTGCACGAATAGCACCAACCGGAACGAGATCATCCGGGGGGTGTTGGTCAATAAGCACCATTTTGGCAAAGCCGATGAGGGGGAGAAGGGATCAAAAGGGAAAACTGCAATGGGGCAAACCACCCGACCTATGCATCACCAGCATCGTATAAAACAGCCAAATGGGAGCTTCTCAATATTCGAGCTGCTATGCTACTTCCAAGATGGGGGGGTAAAGAAATACAACTTTGTCTGCACCGCGAAGGAACAACACCTGGAGTTCTTTCTCACCAAAAATGAAATGCCCAGAGGTGAACTGCTCTGCAAGAAGCAATTCTTCATTCCGATCCTCTTCCCATTTAATGAAGAAGTGCTCAAAAAGGGAAGAAAACAAAACGACAACAGTGTAACGTTGTATAACACACAAGCTAGCTATTTTAAAAGCATCTTTTTTATTTACTTCCAGGAGAAGCAATATGAGAATGTTAGCCTCTGCGTAAATGACCAGTGCCTAGTTATCACGTATGTAAAATCCGTCTGTGATTTGCTGCGGCAGATACGTGCAGTGATGGGGCGGGCCAGGAGCTCCCAGGGGGAATTGCACAGCGGGGCTGACCTAAGCTTCCACGACCAAGTAGATATCCTTGAAACGGGAAGAAAGAGCAACCCCCAAAGAAGCGACGCGCACCTCCCACCAGACGAACGAACCAACTTCCTAGCAGGGGAAACTCTGAACGGAAATTTATTCACACACAGGGAACATAAGACGCACTTCTGGGAGTACAAATACATCCTATTCGGCTTCTACGACTTATTTTTAATAAACCAAAATAATAGCACCGGTAATGATGGTGGTGGTAATGTTATCGGCGGTAATGTTAGCGGGGGTAATGTTAGCGGTTGTGACGTCAGCGGCGGCAACGCTAGCAACAAGGCTAACCCCGGGGTGAGCGAAAAGGAGAAAAGGAGACACCCCAGGGACGCAATCAGCGAAGTGAACGCATACGATGCACACAGCCACTTTAATTTCCTCAATATAGTAAAGGACTATCTATCTTATGACGCCCTTGTCGGGGGTGTCTCCAACGCCCCATCCGGGGAAAACAGAAGGAAGATTAAAATGAATTTTTATCACTTCCTCCAAACGTTAAGTCATTTTCAAGAAAACTACGTCAGTGAGGGGAACTCCTTTTTTCACCTAATATTTAACGAACTCTTCCAGAAGAATGTCTACCCTGCTGGTGCCAATCGCACGAAAGCAGTGGGGAGGGAGACCCTGTCGGTTCAGCTGCATCCCCTGCTAGACATAAGGACTCACTTCTGTGTTCTGTTTTCCTTCTTCATTCACATGTACAATTTTTGCCTGAAGCAAAACGGCATCAGTAGCGACTCCTTCAGCTCCCACATCACCTATTTTCTCATTAGCAAGAAGACGCGCAGGAATAGGAAGCGCTTCCGGTACGTTTACGAGCCGGAGTCGCGCCAAGGGGGCGACAAAACTGTCGATTATGATGATGATGCGAATGGAAAAGCGGATGGTAATGCGGATGATAGGGTGGGCCAGAACGAACACCTCCAGATGAGCCCTCCGACGACCCCCGAGGCAACCCCCCAGGCGAACCTACTCGCCATGCGCAAGTGCCTGTACTACATAAGCAAGGCAAAAAAATATTTGCATTCCATATTTAGAGGGGGGGCGGGGGGTGAAGACCCAGGGCGGGGGGTTGCCCTTCCCCACGTCTACACAAATCTGTATCTCTGCCAGGTCGTCTACATCATGCTTAACACGTTGCGAATCAATAACACAAACGTCTTTGTGAATGTAAATTACGATTTGAGGAAAAATAATATGGACTACTTCTACCTCCTCATACTGCTGAATGTTTATTGCCTCCATAGCATCTTAATATCGCATGGTGCGGCTCAGAACCCCCTCAGTGGAGGAGACGGAGAAGAAGATCTGCACCAATTCTTCTATCATATTTTCCAGAGGGAAGCCATCCCCAGTGGAGGCAAAACAGACAGTACCCGAATGGAAGGCGTCGAAATAGACCAAGACACGTTTGAAAGGCATCAAGTGCTGATTCACGACTTTATTAGAAGGCTAACGAGTCGCTTAAGGGATGACCACTATGTGATTGAGCGAACTTATTTTAAAATCAACTGCGTCCTTTGTGGAAAAGTATCTCTTTCAAATTTGTATAATCATTATTATATCTGCGAACAGAAGCACATTTTTAACAAGTGCATGCTTACTCTGTGTTGCATAGGTAAGAGTAGCTTGGTTATCCCCAATGTTTACCTTTCGCGTGATTTAAGTAAGTCAGTTTTTGAAGAACCCATCGATACGTTACAGTTCAATCTGCGAGTGAAATTGGACTGTCCCTATTTCTGCTCCTTCTGCCATCTGTTTGTGACGACCCAGAATAGGTTCTTCTCGAAGCACTTCCTTTTTAAGCAGTGTCCCTTTTGTAATCACCATTTGGTCGCCGTGTGAATTGGTCAACCATTTGGGGGGAACTGCCTCTTTGGACGCTTAATGGTCAATTCAACTTGTTTGCAAAGGTTGGCCCTATATGCTTCACATTTGTTTTGAATTTTTACTTTATTTTGTTTACTTTTTTTTTTACTTTATTTTATTTACTTTTTTTTTTACTTAATTTTATTTACTTTCTTTTCCATTTTATTTTATTTTTTTTTTATTTTATTTTTTTCTTCCTTCCTATACGTCTCGTTCGCGTTGTAGACGTGTGTATGTTAATTCCAAATGAGGCTGTCACACGTAGAAGCCACCATTTAATTGCCCAATTTGCTACGTGGTGAGAGTTGCTTTCTCCCCATGTTGTGCGTGATGCATATTCTTATCAGATTTGGCGCAAACCATGTGCAACTTCCACACCTTCGACCTTACTCTATCCCCCTTCATTTAGTCCACCCCATTAAATCACTTCTGGCCGACGAATTGCAAACCGGAGTGGAGTAATTGCATGACACAAAACTACTTAACCAATCGGTGACTGCCCCGTGCACCCAAACAGGAGAACTTCAAATTTGAATTTCCTGAGACGTTGTGCACTGCGGGGAATACCACCCCCCACATCAATTGTACACGCCAGTTGGTGCGGCTTTTCCTGTTACCACTTTTGGTTGTAAGCACCCCGTTGGGCTACCGAGAGCTCATTGAAACAGCTTCCATTTCGGAACCCTTTTGGGTGTGCTTCCCCCGGGAGTTGACAATGTGCGGCGGTATATTCTGCAACAAGCTGTAGCTTTTCCTGGCTTCGTCTTCTTCCTTCCCCGTTTGGCCAACTTCTGTGCCATTTAATGAGGCGGCAAGCTCGGAAAAAAAAAAAAAAAAAAAGAATCCATTTCACTTAATTTAATTGGCAGCCCCTCATTTTTTTTCACATTTACGTAATTTTGCATCGCTCGGGAGGGGGCAGATGCAGATCCTACAAACTGGCGCTTCGTCCCCTTCGCCCTGGCAGTCCGAATAGAACAGAGGGACACGCGATAGCCTCACACCAAGTAGCGTCACACGAGGTGGGTTCTGCGTTGAGTTGCCCCCCTCCTCTGGTGCTACTTCACTGCTGCTGGTTCACTACGGCCGGGAAACTGCAAAAGGGCCGGGAGAATGAGCAGTTGGCCCTATGGCGAGCCCCCAGTTCATACTTACAATCGAATTGGGTGTAAAAAACGTGCAAGTGGTGAAGCGCTACGCATATGTATAAGCCACGTATGACTGTTGCGCGCGGGGACGTTGTCGATCCCCCCCCCAGCCATTCATTTGGCGTAAACAAAACGGACGTCTCGCTCGCCGATAACACACTCCAGAATACTATGCCCATTTGTTTTCCGTCTCTCTTCCTTCTGGGAAGATAAATTCGAGAAGAGCGAGTCGATTGGCCCTGAAAGGAGCATCAACAGGGCATCAACAGGTCATCAACAGAACGGTGCGCCATCGTGCCCAGGTTCCAGAGGGAACCCTTCCCCCCCATACGTATTTAACCGGAACAGCCACCGCGCACCGTCAAACCCCCGAGGAACAAGATGGAAAAATCCAAGTGCATCATCTGTGGGTCGACGAGCTTCCGGATAGAAGAGGCCCAGCTGGTGTGCAACGAATGCAACTACGTGAACGAAATTCAACAGGAACAATTCGAAGATGACTATGAGGAACACCCCATAGACGATCATGTCAATAAAGAATACCTTGAGAAAGACTTTTACGACATTCTGAAGAAACTCTACAGAAATGATAAGTTAATCTCCAAGATTAAAAATTACGTCTTCAAAGAAAATGATGAATTTTTTGTAAGGTACCAGAAGGTCTTGCTAAATTTTCTGTATGTCTTTGTGTCGGAACATCATTTGCCTCTTCTTCTTTACGATGAAATGAGGAAAATTTGGTTCCACTTACTAAAGGTGAATATAATGAACACAAATGTGTACGTCCCTATGGGCGATGCGAAAGATTCAGTCAAATCCGTCTTCGAAGTTATCCGGGCACAGAAACTGAAAGATACTGTTGGGGACATTCTGAACAATGGAAACGTCATTAAGGAGATGAAAAATGTGATTAAAAAAATGGGACTTAGTAAGTTATCCTACTTTTTCATCATACAGAAGAAAATCATCAACGAGACGAGCAAGTCACTGGAATTCCTCCCCAGAAAAAGTCAGATCCTTAGACGGTCCGATATTAAACTGTTAAATCTGTACAAACAGACTGCCCTCTTAGATAGCGAAAAAAACAACAAGGAAGACTTTTTAAAGATTAATGAAATAATTCATAACATTCGGAGGGCGAGGCTGTCCAATGAGGGGGAAGAAACTCACCAGGATGGAGGTCACCAAGATGGAGATCACCATTTTGCCATTTCAAATGTCACTGCCAAGGGGGAGGGTGCAAATCCAGGGGGATATGTGGATCACGGCAAGAGGCAGGAAGGGACACTCTCTAATCAGCAAATGATGGAAGAACCACCCAGGCCAAACAATTTCGCCGACAATTACGAAGATTTTGATGTCTATGAGAGGGCTGAGGAGGATGGAATGTTCAATCTGGGCGACTTCGCCGAGTTTGACCAGTTTGGACAGCCGGAGCAGTTTGGACAGCCGGACCAGTTTAGCCAGCTCGACCACTTTGGCCAGTTGGACCAGTTCGACCAGTTGGACCAATTTGACCAGCCGGACCAGCCTCATCAGGGGGACCCATCAGACCGGGCCGCTACCACCCCAAAGGATGTCGCCAACTTCAACCAAGACGAAAATTACGCGCACGCCGAACGAGTGTACCACTTCTACTCGTCCTTCCTAATCAATCAGTTACTCGAAAATAAAAAACTATTCAGACCAATCGATTCCAATGTTTCCACAAATTACATGAACAGATCCATTAACCACACGAATGTTATCGATTTAATATACCAGCATGATTTTTTATATTACTTCCACGAGGAGCTGAGGAAAAAATGTGATATTGAATTTTTGTCCTTCTACGACATAATGCAAGTGTTCAAAGGGGATTACGATTATTTGTTTCCCCCCTCCTTGGGGCTGAGCACAGGTCCGTACATCCCCGTCGGTCAGACGGAAACGAGTAGGAGTATCCCCCCCCAAGGGAAAGGGGACGGAGACGAGGGACACACCTCCCAAGAGGACCTCTTCGCACAGGAGGGGCGCTTATCCCAGGAGGGTCGATTCCCCGAGGAGGGTCCCTTCTCTGAGGACCCCTTCGACGAGTTTACCCAAGTGAAGGATGATCCAGGCGACAGCTTCGGATTCCAAATGAGCGAGAGGCCCTTTTACGAGGAGCTCAAAATGGAGCAGCAGTCCCTAGGTGTCCCGCTAAACGGTGGCCTACGCGAAAAGGCGGCGCTACACAGTGCCGATGAACATTCCTCCAGGGTTGAATCCCTGCGGGATGATTTAAGCCTAGGAGGAGAGCCCTCCGAGTTCCTTGGCCCCAACGACGCACAAAGCGGTTGCGGCAGGGCGGAAGAAGGCGACCAAGTGAGGGGCGACCAACTGGAAGGGTTATACGAACAAGGGTTCGGGGAGGAAGGCGAAGAGAATGCCCTCGTCGAAATGCTGAAGAGGGACGAGCTGGACAGACAAACCGAAACGAATAGGAAGCAGAGCCGTTCCGGGGATGATGTAGAGAAAATTTTGAAAAACTATCAAAGGTACGTTGAACTGAGGAAAGCGAGCGGGAAGGCTGTCTTGCAGAACGAGCGCGCTGTTCTGATTGAGACCCTATCGGATGATGAGAGGTTCGAGGTAAAAAATGAGCAGAAAATGGAAGCTAAAAGAAAGGGGCCTATGCAGGAGGGTAAAAGTCCAGTGGGAAGATCCGAGGAAAAGGGATATGACACCGACCTACTTGGCCAGCTATCCCCCCGCAGGAATGAAGTAGACGACGTTGCAGAATTGTATAACGTAAAAGGTGTATCTCCTTCGCGCAGAGATGTGCCTTCCCCGGGTGGAAGCAAGGCGAGTTCGCCTCTCCAAGGGGAAGCACCAGGGGCAGGGGCATCAGTGGAGGGTGGAGCAGTGACCGAAGCAGGGGAGAGGAAAGGGAAGCCAGTCAAGGGGGGGGTTGGCAGCAATGGCATAGGCCGTGTTAACAATGTCGTAGGCGGTGTCAGCGGTGACCCCCCTGATGCCACGATCGTCACAACCATACGCACGGTGTACAAGAAGCTCGAATACCTAAATAGCATCAAACGGGAAAAGAGAATAACAATCGAAAAGCACTACTACGACAACGGGCTGAAGAAGGCACAGAAAAATTATAGCAAAATTGAGCTCTTCGTGAAGGGGTGCATATTAAGACACATAAAGGAGGAAAATCTCAAATCCGGAAATCAAAAAATGCTATATATTCCCGATAGATACCTCATCGATTCGTACATTTTTGATGGCCTATACAAAAACTTCCTCTACATTTCCAACCTAAAGAGATTCAGGACCATAACGATAAAGCACGTTTATGGCCAGTATGTTAATTTTTTCCTAAACAATTACAGACAGTATTTAATGGACGATGAGGGTTACAAATTCTGCTACAACTTCTCCTTCGAGCTGCTCTTCTACGTGCTGTACTACTCCATGAGGAGGATGCAGATACAGTGTCTTCCTCATAATCTCACCTACTACATTAATTTGGACAATTTTAATCTCTATCGAATTTTTAATAACGTCCCTGAATTGATACAAAAAATTTACAAAGATGAATCCTCTCTTTTTTCTTTCCCCTTGAAGAATCCAAATTTCTCTGAAATAAAGAAGTCTTTCTTTTTAAGAAATCTCAAAAATGGCGTACCCTTTCTATGTCTCCACAACTATGAGCACACCAGTAAGCATTTCACACCTCAGGAAAAGGAAGATAACGCAAAGGAGGAAACAAAATTCCATCTGCACAGAATAACCTACTTTAAAAATTCTAACCATTTGAAAATGGCAAATAAGTTCTTATCAAACTTTATTAACGCCAAATGGGTCAGAGATTTAGAACTCTTTAACTCCAGTCTGATTACGGACCTTTATGGCCAGATTAACGACTTGGTTTTTAAATTTCAGCTGCCAAATGTTGTTCAGATTTATTCCATGAAGCTTCTTCACATGGTAATCTTTAAGTACCGATTTTATAAGTTCCTTTTCAATGTATACACCAATCAATATGACGATATGCATCGAGAATTAAATAAGTTTTACTCATTTAAGCATATCGTCCGAGATTTCAACATGTTCTATAGGAAAAGGAACAGGTCTCTGTTTTCTAAAAACGAAATTAACAGATATATTCTCTACTTAATGAAAAAAGAGCTTTATCTTAAGAAGAAAATTTTGAAAAAAAAAAAATACATTCATCGGAATAGTGGACAGCTCAATTACAAGGTTTACAATAAATTGAACTACTTCTATCGTCAGAAATTTATCTGCACGTTTTTTATCACCTTGAGATTTTCCCTTTCCGTGGAGAAAAAGCGATTTTATAGCATGGCTGCTGCTTGTGTTCTCACTGCCTGTAAGTTCTACTACCCCATGATGAGCTGCGACTTTTTTAGTTTTCAAAATATGTGCGTTCGGGACAAGTTTGAGAGCTTCCACCGCGCCAACCACTACCACTGCCACCTGCAGCAGGGGATGCACCTCTACAATGGGGCACACCTCCAAGGGGGTCCTCACCGGCCGGGGAAGCCCCTAACCAGGTCAACTAAGCAGCGGACCAGGCCAAGTAAGAAGCGAGCTAAGTGGGACCATCCACACGCTCGAGGCGCACCTGCACGGGAAACCCACGTGTATAGTCCCCTCCACAGCGAAATCAAAGCGGCACTCAAAAGGGCGTGCTGTAGAGGAAGGCAAGCTAAAACGGCTAAGCAGAAAACGGACATGTCGGAGGAGCCAAGCAGTCCAGCAACTCGTCCCCATAGAAGAAAGCGAAAGTTACTCGCACCGTCGGGGCAACTGGACGCCCCGAGGGGGGGAATAGAGGCCAAAAGGGCAAAGCGTGGCCGGAGCGACTGGGAAGAAGCCCCCCCGATGTGGGATGAAAGCTTCATGGATGAGAGCTTAATCGGTGAGAGCTTACGGAAGGACCACAGGGGAGACAAACACACCGACGACGCATGTGCCCACTACAGTGACATCTTCACCGACGCGTCCGACGAGGCATCCCTCGCGCGCCGCAAAGATGGAGGGGCAAATAGTCTTGGCTACAACCAATTGGAGCATTTCTTGGCGCAGGATTACTCTGTGGATGGTAGCGACTGCGGCAGCGATAATGACCATATGTGTGGCAATGCCTATGGAAAATTTCATAGAGAAATCATTTTTGAGGAGACACCCGTGGGGGGTAGGAAAACCAAAACGGAAACCAAAATGAGAAGAAACCCCCCAATGCCTATTAAGAGAATACACTTTAAAGCGTCCATCCAGAAAAGCAATTGCTATTTTGTACCCATCCCTCGCATTATGAAGTTGTTTTTTAAGTACAGAAGATTTGCCTCTGTTGACACGACGTTGGACTCTCTCCTGGACGTGAATCTTGACCTTGCATCTAGTTCCACCGACGAGACGGACGATGAAGAACAGTACATTTCTCACGTCGCGTCACAAGATGACCCATCCCTGCCCATTGCACGCAAGAGGGGCAGCACAGGAAGTGTAAGAAGCAGGCCTATTAACAAGCAAGGAGACCTAAGTCGTAAACGAAAATATTTGAGTCTTAATAAACGACTCATGCCACGCATATACATTTTTAAGATTCAGCAAAGCGCTTCAGGTTCGGGTAAGAACAGAAATAGACATACAGAAAAACCACTCGTTGATTTAAAAAAGCTGGTTGTACATCAGAACCCGTACTGTTGCAAGGAGCTGTTGGATGCTCCCCCTAAGAGGGTGTCCCCTCTTGAGAGAAAGTTCCATCGATTGAAGGGGAGGCTATTTCAGGCCCTCTCCTTAACCAACTGCCCACAACATTTAGACCATTTTAATTTCGATTTGAAGAAGTTCTTTTTTTATGACACCCTTCGAAGGGGGATGGACGAGTGCGGGCTATCCCCCCTCGAGGGAGAAGAAGCGCGAAATGCACTCCGTGAAGAAGGAAGTAATCTACTCTGTGAAGAAGCACGCAATGGGCGCAGTGAAGAAGCATTCAATCTTCTCCGTGAAGAAGCTTCGGAATGGTTTGTTCTTCTAAAAATGGTATCATGCTGGGGAGGGAAAGATACATGTGATCACTCGCTTCTGGGGAACGACCCCTCCGGGAGGCTCACGTCAAATGTGGACGAGGACCCCACCGGGGACGACACGGCTAAGGGGAGAGAGAAAGACACAAGTGGGGAGACAGCCATGCGGGATGGTAGCGATGTTGGCAGTCGGATCAGAAGCCACATCACCAGCTGCATCAGTAGCCCCCCCGGCGCCAACCGAGCGGGGAAGGACCAACACCAGTTTGTAAACTTCAACGCAGAAACGGTGGAGCAATTCATAAGGGCGAATATCCTTGCGCGGAGGGAAAAGAAGCTCTACCGCGCACTGAAAAAACAAAGCATTTATATCGATGGAGAGGTCGCAGAGCGGGGGACAGATGATAAGTCACAAATAATTAAACAAAGACATTTAATACATTCAAAGAGATATGAAATTGTTTTCTTCCGATACGTCATGTATGAATACTACACCATGTTGCAACTTCTTCCCGATTTCCAATTCATGGTGGATACGCTAAACGTATTTATTACCTACACATGGAATGTGTATCACACTCTCTTTCTATATTACCAGATAAAACATACCATAAAGGAATTTTTCAAATGCTTCACTCAAGTGAGAAACATGCTCCATTATTTTCTCCTCATCATGAAGCGTAAAGAATACATACGTGCAAAACAGTTTAACTGTTTTTTCAGGAACAAGTACAGAAAGAAGAAAAAAAAAATCTCGCACCATATAAAAAGATTGTTTTTCGTCTTTGAGCTCTTCAGTGCCCTCTACGGAGTGAAGTGTAAAATTCCCTACCAGTTCAAATTTTCCCCAGGAGCATTTTTTGTTAATAATACTTCCCTTATATATCATAGGAAGAAACCAGATAGAGGAGAGGTCACTAAGAAGAATGAAACCTTTGCTCATCTGTGTAGCCTCCTTAATGGGGGTTACTATGAATATCTTAACAATATGCTCCAAAATGTCTTCAATCTCGAGATGGTTAAAAGGACGGTGAAGAGAAAAATGAGAAAGGCACGGAATGAACTACACGATATTGTTAGGAATGCCTACATGTTTGATGATTATATCCATTCGTATGTTTTCCCTCCTACACGGAAAACGCTCTTCCATATAACCGTGAGGCATGTCAAGTTTTTTAGCCTGACCTTTGAGGGCACCTTAAGGCTTGTTAGGGGGAACTATGCCGCTTGTCTCGACGAGTACTACGAAGCGATTGACAGGCGCGGCTTGTCTAGCTTGGACGATGTCGTGACGGTGTTGTCCGTGGGTCCCTCCCATGGAGGATTACATCTGCAGACAGGTGAAGGAGCCAGCACAGGTGGGAATTACACTATTATCTCCTCAACCAAATGTCGCAGAAACGCACACCGCGCTCTCTCCAAGTACCTAACCCTAATTATAGAGATGTTGAAGCAGAAAACACGAGTACCATACCTCTTCTGTGACAGCAGTGCTCCATCCAGCAGGACCAAAGACAGCGGCGTCTACTTCCTCCACCATGACCAATCGGACGTCATAAACGATTGCATCGATTTTGTCATGAGGAAAAATTACAACGTTCTAAATAACAAACAGCTGAGCGATATTTTAAAGTATAAAGTGCTCGTGAACGTGCAACGGCAGGTGTGCAACCAGATGGAGCGGTCCCAGTATGACGATGCGGGGTCGCACTTTTTTCAAAACCCTTCCTACAACATACAACCCGACATAGGATCCTACCATATGGTTAAACTTTTTAAATACTTTAAAAAAATGAGGAGAATTATCACCCCCCCCCGAGATGTATTTCTCCTCTACTACCTAAGTTACTGCACCAACTTGTTCAGAAGGAACCTTTTCTCACGGAGCGAACTATACAGCAGTAACTTTTTAGCCAGACGGGTACTCTGTTCTTTCCTACCTGGAGTCTTACGATGGGACGGAAAATCCAATGAAACTTCAGTCCTCATGAAGAATAAAATTATAAGTTATGTGCAACTCTTTAGATTTATCCTTCGTGGAAGGAGGAACACATTTTTAGCATCCGAGGGGGGGATATTCGTCTCCATCTGTAACCCCTGCAGTAGGTGCTCCTTTTATTTGGGACGAAAAAAAAAGCTTCTGGAAAATTGTCCCTCCCCACCTGGGGAAGAATCGAATGGCACCTCCAGCTGGTGTGACGCGAAATTTCAATCTACATTGCCCCCTCGGAGGACCAGAGAACGGAAATCTTCTGACGGCACGAAATTGGTAAAATTGGTGGACCTCTCGCAAAGCTATGCAAAATTTGCGAGGCGTTTGCGGTGCCCCGTTTCGAGTACGAATGAGCTCCTCCTAAATAAAATCGTTTTCTTCAATCTGGAAAATGAAACAGTCATTAGTGACCTATGGCAGGGGGCCAGGCACCCTCCACGGATAGAGCAGATCTGCGATCGTAGTGGAGAAAACGCTTCAAAGGGACAGAAGCGAAAGTGGAAAGGAGCTCAGATGGGACGAATTCCCGCAGTCACCACCCCGCTGCAACAGATCGCCTACTCCATCATTCTGGACAATTTTATCAACAACAATAGGCAGATCATTTTGATCAAAAATGCCAACCGTTTTTACGCCAACTTGGAGGGGAAAATTCAGAGCAAATTTTACAGAATGAGAAGCGGTATTAAAGCCACCACGAACGACACTGTGAATGGTTCCTCAAATGGCGGTGCGAATGGTTCCTCGAGTGGCCTCCCGAATTGCAGTGGCAGCGCAAGCGTGTGCTCGCTCCCCCTTGGGCCGCCCCCTGCACATCAAACCAAAAAGGGAAGGAGAAAGAAAACGAAGAGAACCCCCTCCTCTGCACACGACCGGAAGATAGTAAAATACATCGCACCGACAAAGTACCACAAGAAGTGCAGCGTCTTAACATCTATGATTCATCAAATGGATTCAAAGATAAACAATCTGCCCTATAGCATCCTACCCAAAGAAGACCCAATCAAATCGACAGTCACCTTTGAAATCCCAAGTGTGCCTAGCAAACAAAACGTAGCAGAGGCGGTGGACTCCATCAGCTTGATTCATTCTAAATTGTTTACAAATCTGAAATGCCTCTTCTGTACTGTCCCTTTGGATGGGTACCTTATTAGCTACCTGGAGAACAGATTCGCTGAAATGTTCCCAAGGGAGAAAGACCTAAGAGAGGAGCTTTTCTATTTCGTTCATGATATATTCGTCAAGTGCAAAATGGATGCTTCAAATGGGGGCGACGCCGCAGAGGTGCACCTGCAAGGGGGGAAAAACCACCCAGCAGAGAGAATCCCTGGCGAAAGAACCCCCTGTGGAGTCAACCCCAGTGGAAGCGCCCCAAATGACGCTTCCGCTCAGGAAGACGAATTTCTTTACCTCTCAACCGATGCCGACTCGTACAAAACCGATTCGATGTACCCCCTCCAGTTGAGAAAAAACCAAACATATCGTGATGTGAAGAAATTTTTTAAAAAAAATCAGCGTCAACTAAACATAGCTATGGAAAAGAAGCAGTCCTGTCAGTTTAACAGATGCACCTCCTTTTTCAAAGAATCGGAACGTAGTCGCAGTAATGCCATCATCATACATGAGTGTTACAGAATATTTTCCAATCTTTTTAGTAAGCTCCGTAGCTGTCTCAGCCACTTTGATGAGAAGGACCTCCGTGGGGGGGTCTCATTTTACACCCGCGTATTCGAGTGGTATAGCAATCTCAGCATGTATGACCCCTTTTTGCTCATTTATAATAGACACTACGATTATGATGCGGCAGTGATGGGGGGTTCAGCTGGGGTTAGTGCCCCCTGTAAGGAAGGGGGAGAAGATTCAAGCAAATATAAGAGTGACACAGATGGGCATCTTTCCGATGGAGTGATGAAAAAAGGGAAAGGAAAAAGCTCCAACAACTGCGGGAGACGATTACATACAAAACCGCACATCTGTATCTACAACGATAGAACCTTTTTCAACGCGAACGACGCTGCGCTGGAAGCTGAGGTGGACAAAAGTGACAAGTATGAGGAGTCCCTGGTAAATTATAATCTGAACAGAAATTGCCATTTCGAGTTTCAACCAAATGTAAATAGCTTCACACTGAGGTTAAAAAATGATTACATAGAGAAAAAAAATAAAACGATAAATGAGCAAGTGAGGAAGAAACAGATACATAAGATAAGATACGTGCAGAATGTTGTTCGCACGAGGAGGTATACCTACTTTTTCTTCTCCTGTTTCGTCTACCCAATGAGTCACGTGCCCAGAATTATGTACCTTTTCTCCATAAGGTATTTCCCCTCCCTCTTTGTAAAAACAGCGAATTATTTGAACTATCTAAAAGTAGACCAGCACATGATTCAATTCTTGTCTACCTACGATGTGAGTACAATTAGCGAGATCTTCAGAAATATAAAAAAACAGAAGAACTCAGAAAATGTTTTCCATTTGTTACGCTTTAGGGGGTTCTACATTAATCCATTTTCTTTGCTAGGCAGTATGTACTACTCAAAGGAGATTCAACTTTTGTGCTCTAACTTCAAATTGTCATTATGCAGCTATTTTAATACGCTTCATACCGTTTTGTCCGTGGAGAACATGAAGAGAGAGTCTAAGTGTGTTACCCAGGAGCAGGGCAGACTGGGGTGGGACCCAAGCGGAGCCGCAGCAGGGCATAGACAGCAGTTGAGCAACCGGTACAGAGCGGATAGCAATATCGACGCGGAGCATATCATCCCAGAGGGAACTCGCATCGATCAAAACTCATCAGGGATCGACCCAGATCTGTTTGGATTGTATCAGAACGAGTTCGGGGAAATCCGAAGCGTGTTTGACGTCCCCCGGAAGGAGTCAGACGAAATATCCTTCCCAGACGACGAGGAGGGAAGAAGCGAAACGACCACTTCAAACGTAAATGGAAGAAGGAGAAGAGAAGAAAAGAAAAAACAGGAAAAAAACCCCAACGATTCGCACAATTCCGTGACGGAGACTTACGTCAGAACGACCATCAAATTTTCCGACGACGCGAAGAACAACATCGACGATGATAAAATAAATAGATTTTTTGAAAAGATCAACCGTAGGGACAGTGGGCCCTTTTCCAAGCGGAGCCGTGAAATGAAAAACATCTCCCTTCTGGAGGACACAATACGAAACGGAGGCCAAGAAAATAGGCACTTAGAAGATACCACCTTTACAAGCCAAATGAATGAACTTTTGTCCAAAGAAAACATCCTTGACGACGATGAAGATAATGAGAGCCAGACTTACCTGCAGCGTGCTCGAAATTTCAACTGCCTGTCTATCACCCCGAATGTCCTTGCGCTGAGGCCACTCGAACGGGGGGCAAAGAGACGAAGGCAACGGGAACAACAGATTCTTGCCGAGAGGAAGCTGCAAAGTAGACCCCCACCTATGTACACACGTTTATCCAGGCTCCCACCAGATCGTTCCTACAGCGATCAACCTGTGCACATAGAAAAGGAAGACCATTCCAAGTCGCAATATTACTTGTTTGGAGAAGACGAAACGAATGTACTTTCAGTCATTGAAAAGGGGAAAAAGGCTTCTCAAAGAGCGGCAGCGTCTCGCCACTCCAGTGCAAAGGAGGGAAAGAAGGGGGTAGCGGAAGGAGTGGCAGGTGCCGAAATGGAAGGGATTGCTGAAATGGCGGAAAGAGCAGACGACACGTTCACGGAGAACATCACCACAGCGAACAACAGAGATGGGAACAACGAATGCGTCACTGAGCAGCAGTTTGAGATGTATGACCCCTGCGTGGAGCGAGAGGAGCGGGACAGCCAGAGTGACCTGTACGGAGGTTCCCACGTGGCGGACAGTTCAACGAGTCGCAGCTGGAGTCACAACTGGAGTCACAACTGGAACAACAACCCCAGCGTCGGCGTGAGTCACAGTACAAGTTGGAACGAGAGTCGAAATGCCACCTTCTTCAGTACCAGCCGCAACCCGAGTGTGAACCACATGGGCGTGGGGGGAAGGAAGATCGGCCTCCACAAGGCTGGCAAAGTTGGCAAAATTGGCAAAGTTAGCACCGTTAGCGGCAGAGACGGTACTAACTTCAAACGCGGAAGTCGCTCCAAAGAGAAGAGCATTCCCTCTAGGAGAGTCCGGCGCATATATGACAAGTGCCTCCGAAAACAGCTGGACACGGAAATGGCGCACCCCCGATCAACACCATCAGAGACAATAAACCTCTACAACATTATTATAAATTCGCTGAATAACCAGATTCTTCTAAAAAATGACTCCATCACATATGGGAAGTATATAAAGAAGACCCCCTTGGAATTTAATTACATCGTCTACAAAGAGTTTTCTACGCACACAAGCTACTACTCGGAGCCCTACGACAAAAGTGTGCTGAACGAATTTGTCGAGATTTTCTACACGGACAAGTTTAGGGAGAATTACTTCGGAGGTGGACGAGCGCAAAGGGAGGAGTCGAGAAGAGTAGCTATACTGGACCAGAGGGAAGAAGTAGCTATGCTTCTTCACAGAGGCGATACAACTAGGCTCAACTCCGGTGGAGGTGACCCACTTTTTGTCACTCAGGAGGGCAATGAAAACAGATCGCAGTTGGACGAATTTTTCTGTCTGAATGATGAGCCTTTTTCGGCTGGCGGGGGCGAGGAGCCCTTGCCTGGGAAACAGGCTGGAAGTGAACGCGCCCGGGAAGGTGATCCCCAAAGTGATCTCCAGAGTGATTTGCAAAGTGACCCCCAAAGTGATTTCCAAGGTGATTTCCAAAATGACCCCCAAATTGATTTCCAAGGTGATTTCCAAAATGACCCCCAAAGCGACCCCCACGAAGAAGATAACATAAGGAGCATGATGAACCCATTTTGGGAGGACGAAAATCTGCTGGAGAATATACACAGTGGACAAAAGGATATGCACATGGAAGGAACGAATGAGCCACACATTAACTATGAAGAAAGTACCGCTTCTCTCTTCTCCGACTACTATGACAGCAATGCCGAGAGTGAAGCAAATGATTTCCACAACGATTCCTACACTGTGTGTTCATTCTATCTTCACAAACCGGTGTATATTTTCGATGAGCAGAGTGAGATTAACCAACTGGAAAGGGAAACGCATCAAAGTAGGGACATAAAAAATGACCCCTCTTCATCCGCAGCTGCTCCGAAAACCATGGATGACTTATTTTTCCCTCTCAACAAAGATCCACTTTCAAAGTATATCACAAAAAATGACAGGAAACTTAAAAAGGTATACAAAAAATTGATAGGCAAAATGGAGTACGACAGAAATGCCAAACGGACCTCCTACGCCATTTATGACAGGACAAATAACTTCCTTCTGTATGATTATAAATGCGCCATGTATAAAAACATTTGGGGGAAATTTACAAAGAAATATGTCAAAAAGAAGAAAAATATACACATGAAGAACGTCTTCAGCGGGAATAATTTGATCATCAATACCATCACTAATGATATTTATCCCTACGATCAGGAGGTGAGAAAAGTTGTCCAAATTTATAAGAGGAACAAATTGTTCATAAAAAATGCCAAGGAGAGGCACATCTCCAGGAAGTATAGGCATTCCTTTCCCTGGGTTGGAGACAACATGCTCGTCTGCCGCAAGGACGTCGATTTGTTCATCATGGTAAGGCGGATCGATCATTCGTTCTGTCACTTCAGCTGTGACATCATCTCGATATGTACGTAGTACATACAACAGTCCTTGCCAGACAGACGCCCACAATAATGCTCGCGTTTTCTTATGCTTATCCCCCCCTTTCCCCTGCAGGCCGGATACAGCTCCATCCTGACGCACCAAAATACCTCCTACTTAAAAAGTTTTAATTACCACTCGGCAAATCCGTTTATCCCTTTATATTATAAAACCTTGTCAAGGAATTTAGGTTCGGCGTGGAGAGAAAGAGAAAAAAAAAAAAAAAAAAGAAAAAGACACCATGCAGACACTATACACCCTGCGGGTGGCAAAAGAATGGCGTGCAGGTTGCGGCGTCGCGATGCCCCACGTCACGCAGCAAGCGGGACTTTAAAATGAGAGAAAAGTGAAACAGCGTGCAAATGATATCTGTGCGAACAAAAAAAGGTGCAAACATGTACACGTAATAATGACATTAACGCAACCGCCGATGCAGTTGCACACTTGCGGGCATCGCTCATCCCACCCACATGGCACACTTCCGCTTCTGCAGATCACCTCAGCACAATGATGTGCCTTCTCATCAAGGCCTTCAGCTCCTACATGGGATGCCCATCCAATGACTTAATTACGGTAAGGACATTCCCATTCCCACTTGGCTTCTTCCCCTTTTCGCCTTTTTTTTGCCATCGTTTTTAAAAAGAGTGCAGACAAATTGGAGCGTTCCCAATGGTTCTTATCTCTGTGCACAGGGGGCCTTTCCACGACTAAGCTTCTAACATCGATGCGTAGAACATTCCGTACAGCATTGGTACAACATTGCGTGAATCCCTCCCCTTCATAACGTCTCCATTTTACAGGCTTGCAAAGAAGTGGAATGTATATTTTTTCGGTTCTGTTTGTAGAGCGCAGTCGTCCTCGAGTGAAGCTGTTTTTTTTTTCTGCCCACTTTGAATGCTCCTATGCTGTGAAGCCTTCAGCGTTGACAATCTTTTTATCGCGTCGCAAGCTCGGAAACTTTGCCACTCCGAAACGTTGCCACTTCTAAACATTGCCACTTCGAAACATTGCCACTTCTAAACATCGCTACTCCAAAAGAGGTGGCACCTTCTCGTCGTCTCACGCGAGCTTGAAAAACTGAGAAGGCGTTAGGATATTCTTTACCTTTTTAATTATGTAGAAGGGTAGCCAGGCGAAGAGCACGATCAGAATAACTTTGTACCAAAACATAACGGACATAATTTGCATGATGTCGAAGTAGTTCCTCAGAATGAACATCGAAAAGATGTACACGATGAAGGAGCAGATGTTGGCTGATATCATCAGCGGGTGCCTGCACGGGAGGATGAAGGGATTCCATGTGGGGACGCACATAAGCATAAGTAGGCATAATCCACTCATAAGTGGGAATATATACATGCACCGGCAGGCACTGCCGGCGCAGAGTAGAATCCCCCCCCCCCGGCACTTACCAGGACTCCACCTCCAAGTGAATATTCATGATCTCCAAAACGATGAGAGACGAAAAGGATATGTTGATGAGGTTGTTGTAGTTGTCGTTAAACAGCTTCAGCGCCCCGAGCATGACCACGGTTCCCTGCAGGTGGATGGTGAAGATCAGCGATGCAGAGCAGCGATGAAGAAGAATGGTGGGGAACAGCGATGCAGACGAGCAATGGGGGGCGGCGTGCCTCCCTAGCAATGGTACATCCACGCGGAAGGGCTTCTCCATTTTGTGCTCTCACGACGTGGCCAACTGGGCACTACACCTTTTTTCCACGTTCACACATTCGCTGGCAGCCATTCAGTCCCTGCGCGACACCCCTCGGGAAGTACCTGAAAAATGGAGATCCACACGATGATGAAGAAGGATTTCAAATCCAGTTTCCGCTTGTGCTTCTTATTTTTGTATATCTCCGGGTAGAGGTATATTAAGTTTTTTTTTATCTTCACGTCTAACAGCAGCGACAGGAATGGCGCCGTGGTGTAGTACGTGGTGTAGCCGATTTGCAGCCATCCCTGCGGGGGGGGAAGGTGATAGGAAAGACGCGATGGGAAAAATGTGATGGGAAAAATGTGATGGGAAAGATGCGATGGGAAAGATGCGGTGGGAAAAATGTAATCGGCAAAATGCAGCGGGGGTGAAAACCTCCTCAGCGCGTAAACTCACCTGAAAGATCGACACCGGTATGCTGAAAAAAATGTAGCTGTATATAAACTGCAGATAGGTGAGGACGAATCCCCTGTGAATGAGGAAGGAGCAGAGGGAGGAAGTCTGCAAAAAGGTGTTGTTTCCATAGTAGAGTATAAGCTTCTTTATGTTTTTAAATTTCGAAACAATTATGTCACTATCGTTTACAACTTGTTTTCCTTCCTTTCCTAAAACACCAATGCCGATGTCCGCTGATTGGATCATGGCCACGTCATTTCCTCCATCCCCGATGCACAGGATTTTCTTCCTCTTAATGGTCTTGATCAGCACGGCGATTTCTTTCTTCTCGATAGGGCTACACCGGCAGCAGACCTAAGGGGCGGCGTCAGAGGGGGAGAAACATGCGTGAGGAATAAGCGTGACAAATAAGCGTGAGAAAAAATACAAGCCGTGGAGTGGAAAAACGAAGTGCACAAATGAATCGCCGTCATAGCGACGCACAGGATTATAATATAGCTTACCACTGCCCTCGCATTGGCCGCGAAATCGACGAACGCATTAGGAATGTACTTGATGCAGTTCTGAATTATAATGTTGTCAAAGAAGAGGACATACGAATCGATGTTACTTAAGATGGAGTTAAAGTCTCTTATCAGGTTTGACGTACTCTTAATATTTTCGTGCCTGAAAATGTAGATATTATGCTTCTTCTTCTTAATGTTGGCGTTTTTGCAGATGCAGATGGCTGTTTCGATTTTGTCTCCGGTCAGCACCCACACCTTGATTCCGCTGTTGTACAACATCTCGATGGTCTTTCCGACGCCCTGTAGGAGGGTGCGTGTGTGTGTATATGTGTCTGCGTATGTGTAGCGGCATAACGAATGGGGAAACGTAAAATGAAGTGAACAGGACATTAGAGTGCTAACATACAAGAGCGACAACCTGGCAGACGACCCTGCCGCACACCGCCTCTCACTGCCCCACGCTGCCTCTCCCCTCCGCACACTCAGCTCACCTCCTGCAGCTTGTCCTCCACGCCGGTTATGGCCAGAACCTTGATGTTTTTCTCAACGTAGTCCAAAATATTCTCCAGCTGCCCCTTGACGTCCTTATTCTTGTTGTATAAATTGGAGAAGGTATGGAAGAACTGCTCCTCTATGTTTAAAAATCCATGCACGAGGACACGGAGACCCAAGTTTGACAGATGGTCACTCTCCTCATAAATGAATGTCTTATACTTCTCATGACACTTCTTTATTAAAATGTTATCCGCCCCTTTAATGAAAAAGTAGATATTCCTGTTTTTCACATTGCGGACGAAAATGCTCATTCGTTTGGTCTCGGAAGAGAATGGGATGTGAAGCAAAATATCGTACTCCATGAGAAGGTTTTTATATTTTATTTCTATCCTGCTGGCAGTTTTCTTCCTCAAGATGAACCCACAGTTGGTAGCATATTTTAGGAAGGCCAACTCATCTGGAGAGGAACATTGATAACTGACATCCGAGTGGGAAAAGGTCTCAGATTCCTCGGAGCTGTTAGACTCCACATTTTTCTTGTCATAAGAATAGGCTGTGCTGGTAGTATCCATATGTTTCTCTTTCTTAATTTTATTTTCCTTTTTATTTTTTCGATTCACTTTTAATATGTAGTAGAAGTTTTTCTGATGGTCCGTTTCTTTCTGCTCCTTCTTTTTCTTTCCCTTGTCCTTTTCTTTGGTGCCTCCTCCGTTAGCAGCTCCGTTGGCACCACTGCTGCCACTGCCATTTGCACTGCCACTGGCACCCCCGCTGTTGCTGCTCTCCTTGGCCAGAGTCCTAATATTGTTGCATATAAGGAAGGATAAAAAGGTCTGGAACACGCGGTGCTTCTTCAAATACTCTACATCCTCCACATTGTCATTGTAGTAATCTAAGGGGTCCGACTTGTACTTCAAAAATTCGTCTACCATCAGCTCTACTTTTTTCTTCTTCTCCAAGTGCAGCGAGTTCTTTTTATTAATGTCGTTTCGCCTCTGACCTAAGGCTCCCCCTGAGACGGTACTATTATTCAGAGTCATGTTGTTCTGTTTGAACGATTTCATGTTTCCATTTCGGTAGCTATTTTGAGAGAAGCCTGATTTGGAGGCGGTGGAATGTTCATTAAAATTTCCATAATCAAAATTATCATAGTCGAAATTTTCCTCATCAATGTTTTCCTCATCATGTAGCATGTTGATACGATCCATTGGGTTCACTGCTTTGCCAACTTGTCTCAAGGATGAGAGTTCATTTTTGTTTCTTCCACTCTCGATATCGTAATTAAAGGAGATGTAGTTTCCATTTTTGTTTCCACTATTCTTATTCCTTCGATCGTTCTTGGAATAGTTGGATCCTAAATACATGGAAGAGGCATCAACATCTTCGTTTAAGTCATCCAGATCGTACGATAGCATATGCTTGTTGAAATTCCCTTTCCCTTTACTTTCCATACTTCCCTGGAGCATATTATTCTTTTCATTTTCCGCATGGATGACGTCCAAGCCGATATGTATAACTTTAAGCACCATTACATTTTCTGTGAGTGTTCCCGTCTTGTCTGTGAAAATGTAATCGACGTCACCAAAGTTTTCTATAATTGAGCTGTTCTTTATGATCGTCGTTTCGATTTCCTTATCCTTCTGAATCATCAAAGTGTAGTAAATTTTAGCAATATTCAAATTGACGCTTAAAGATATCGGGATGACGGATGAGAACAGCAAAATGAAACGAATAAAATTCAAGTACCACAGATTATTCATCTTCACGGAACACATATACATGGAGAACAACGTCAGAATGAGAAACAAAAATAACGTTATCATATTTAATTTCTGGTCTATCATTCCTCTTTTTATTTTGCTAATCTGTGTACTCATGTTAACTCTTGTGTCACTTCCGGTGTAGATTACCAAACAGAGCACATCAGAGCTGGTAATCACCGAGTTGAACAAAATGAAGTTGTCGTAATTTAATTTTTTTCTATAAGTAACATTGTAAAAGTTGAAATTAGCTTCATTATTAAATACACTACACATGCTCGTTTCTCCGACATAATTCCCGCTATTATTTCCACTATTTTTTCCACTACTTTTGCCACTACTCTTTGAGCAGCTGTACTTTTCAATGACTCCTCTGTTTCGATCCGGCATAGCAGCACCCGATCCCGCTCCCCCGATGGCTCCCTTTTCCACGTCGACAAATTTCACCATTTCTTTGTTCTTTTTTTCCTTTTTCTTATCGCTGTACACGTAGTTTGTGTCCTTTTCCGCCAAATTCACATAGCCCTTATGTTGGACTTCCTTTCCTTTGTCGTTCGCTAGATTGTCCAGTTCGAGTTCGTTTCGGCGATCATCCTCTCGATGGCCCTGCTGTTGCTCCTCCTTCTCCTCATTGTCATCCTCCTCATCATCTTCGTCGTCTTCCTCGTCGTCTTCCTCGTCGTCATCTTCGTCGTTATCTTCGTCATCTTCGTCATCTTCTTCCTCCTCCTCCGCCCCGTATGGTGGTGCGCCGGGTTCTTCCCTCCTGGCCACTCCGCCGCGACCGCCGCGCTCCAAGTCGATCTCTCCGTCCCTGATCATGTCAAACGAATAGTTCATCAGCTGGTGATCGCTCAGCCCCAGCGTGTTGTTGTTTTCCTCCTTCTGGAAGTCGCCATGCGGGTTGTACTTGAATATGACGAAGGACCCCTCAATTTTATAAATGTCATTTTTGGGCTGCTCCAGGATGAACAAAATGTCTATGGTGAAGAAATCTTTCAACTTTTTTAAATTTTGGAAGATGCTAATTGGGTACTTAATTTTCCAGTCCGTCTCTCCATCAATTTTGTCCGTTTTGACATACGTATAATTGGCCGTTTCGTTCGCAGCAGCTGCGTCCTTGTTTTTTCTATTTTTTAATATTTTTTTTTTTTTTTTTTTTTTTCTTTTTCTTTTCAAAATGGTCCAATTCGCCTGAAGTGTTCATATCATTTTTATGACCACTTTTGTCTGACTTGTCTTTTAAAAGATATTTCTTTTCTTTCCCTCCGCTTAGCGATTTTTCATTTTCACTAAAGAGTAGGTGATTGCTCGTTTCGCTCAGGTTGTTGTTCGATTCGTTATATCGATCATCAATCAGTTCGTTATCAATATTTTTATTAAAATGGTAGTAGTTTTTGTTAATCTTGTTATACACGTTGGAACTTTTATTCAATTTTATGTTGCCGAAGAATTTCTTCTCCTCCACTTTAAAAGTATATTCTTCATTTTTATTTAAATTACGTAACAGAATACAATCTGCTGGGGCTCTCTGCTTGGATTTTATCAAGATGATATCTCCTACTTTGATATCTTTGGAGTATATTTTTTCGAAATTTCCGTTTTCCAAAAGGGTGTAATAAATTTCGTTGTTATTCTCCAGATCCTTTATAAATCGCTTCAAATCATCAACCACTTCATTGATTAAACTTACAAAGATGATGAAGATTAATGGAGCAACAAAGGTGAACACATACCCCGTATTGAATATCGGGATGACTTGTAACAAAGAAACACACAAATAGAATAAATTCAAAAAGTCCGCGAACTGGTAAAATAAAAAGAGAGGAATAAATGAGATCACTGTGTATTTTGTGCTCCTAATTTTATTGTCGCAGAAAAATTTTGGACTCGTCCTTCCGTGTATATTTACAAACCTTTCTCGCTTCTTATTTTTCTTGTTATAAAAATGGCTGAATATCTTGTAGAATGTGTACGAAAAAAAGTACTTTATCCGCCCCACCTTTTTGCTCAGAACGAACCGAAGCCTCTTTAGCTCCTCGTCGTCCACCATCTTGCCCTCATGTGGAAGGTTCTCGGGGGAAATTGTGAAGCGCTAGGCAGGGAAGCGGGGTGAGCCGATGAGCTCCTGCGCCGCTGATATGCCTGTGTATACGGAGGTGTTCGCCCACGTCCGACTCCGCGTTGTGCGTGTTTTTATGCTTCTATAGCGGGAAATGCGGAGCCCCCGTCTGGGGTGCCGATCGAGGGGAATAAGCCTTCTACCGTGTCGCTGCTGCAGAGTCTCTTACGCTGCGTCTATTGTTCTCCGTCCCTTCTGCTGCTTCTCTTTTGATGCTTCTTTTCTGCCGCTCCCCCTCTCGGTTGTCTTACAAATATGCGTAGTAGCATCACACGGGGAAATAACCCGGCCTGCTATGCATCATGTTAAAGGGCTGAGACGCTCGAAAAAAAGGGGTGGACCCATTCTCACTTCCCTCGGGGCACGTGTCTGTCGCACACGTGCACCACTGAGTATGTTTCCCTTGCCGACAAAAATATATCATATATTTCTGTTCTGCAATTTTCCCTAAGTGGGGGGAGAGGTAGCGAATCTTCAAAAGGGGAAGCCAAAAGTGGGCGACCAAGTGATCCTCTTAACAATGCATGGTTGCGAAAAAAGATCTCGGAGGTGACACAGTCGAGAGAATCAAAACCAGTTTGACTTTTCAGTGCCCCCGTTTTTGCGCATATCTTTGTATCATCTGCAGGCGCTCCTGAAGTTGGTCATTTAAAGCCACCTTCCTCCAGAGCGGTTATCCGTATGTACAAATTTTTGACAAGGAAAAGGAAGAAAAAAAAAAAAAAAAGAAAGAACAGTATTATGTGTTCACATACGATCGGAAAGAAACAAACATATGATTATGTTTATTTTATTTATAGATTTTTGTGCGTTTGCATCCAAACAGCAAAACTGTGATCACTCACATGAAAAGCGATACGGGGTTAATTTGGCTGATTAATTGCCCGTTTATTTGGTAACTCTTTAACAAAAAAGAGGTATCAGAAAAAGTGCCAGAAATGTTTTCATTTTTGCATCGGCACAAAATATACATAACGCTCAAGCATGTTATTGCTAAAAGGATTTTTTCCCCTTTTTTTTGGAACATTTTGCGCATTTATTTGCTTCATATTGTTATGCATATTTTTTTTTTTTTTTTTTTTTGGAAGATCCACCAAGGCGCAATAAATTTGCAAGGGAAATTCTCTGCACCAGTCCATTCCTTTTTTTCTCATTTTTGCCCCCGCGCGGCAAGAAGGATTAGCTAAACATCTCCTCTTGAGCGTGTAAAAAGGGCACCCACGGAAGAAGTGTTCAATGCGCATGTAATGCAAATATAAATGTTGTATTTTGTACGGCAGCAATACTTGTATGGTGACATGTACACGTTTCTACGCATGTACCTACCTGCTGTGCTTGAAAAGTCAAAAAAGGTTCTCGCCCCCCCCAAGTGAAGGCACAAGCGCGCCAACACGCGGGGAACAGAACTCATCGTACTCTACTGTTCTGTTTTTGCGCCTGTTTGTCGCATCGGCGTGTGGGCACTTGGCCCTTCATCCATTCGTATTTTGCTTTTTCTCACCTCTGCATTCTTCCCGTTCAGAGGAGCGAAAAGGGAAGAAAAGATAAACGATTGTAACGTTATACATTTGTGGGTGAATAATTCATCAAATTAAAATAAGGGAAAAGAAGAAAAAAAAGTTTAAAGGGGAAAGCAAAAAAAAAAAAAAAAAGAATGACCTTAAATGTCCTGAACGCTCAACGCGCACGCTTGCTGCTTCTCTACGGGTGCACGTCTGTCTGATGCGTTTATCACACCGAAGGGCGCCTCGTGTGCGAGGGAAGTGTGCACATATGCATATGTGTATGCATAGATATTCTTGCAAATGTTACCGCCATCGGAGCGTCGGCGCAGCGCCCCAGAAGCCCTGGCGCCCGCGGACTGCTAGCCCCCCTAACCGGTTGCTCTACGCGGACGTTACACACCGCATTATGCACACGTAGAGACAGGCAACGGCGCACCCCCTCAGGTGCGTATCACTATTATGTGGTTCCTATGTCCCTTCTTCTTCGTCCTCGTAACAAATCTGTTTCTCCCACTCCGCAACTTCAGTTGTCTTTTTGTGAGAAGCGAAAAAAGGGAGAAGTTGGTCCCGATTTGGACCCCCCACAAGAGTAGTGCCCCTCTTTTTATACACACTGGGCATGGGGGAGTGAGGAAGCGGGCGCTAAAGGGGAGAAACAGGTTGGTCGGCCATAAAAAAAGCAGTAGAGAGGAAAGAGGTGATGGGAAAAATGGTGGCAAATTCCTGAGGTCGTCCCTGCTGCTCGCGAGGAAGGGCAGCGCGGAGGGGGAGGCAGATGGAGAATCAGATGGAGGGCCGCTCTCATCGAGCGGAGTGCCAACTTCAACTGTGAGCAACGAGCCAAGTGAAGAATCCCCTATGCGAATGGCTAAAACGAACAGAAGTAGCCATGCAGGAGGTGCCCAAACGACAGGGATAAGCGACCCTGTGGAAGAAAGCATAAAAAGAATCAAGGGAGAATACTACGACGTGGAAATTTGCGAGCTGCTGTCAAAAAGCTTCCTGTCTTATGCCAACTTTTTAATCCTAAACAGATGTCTATGTGATTATCGCGATGGCCTAAAAACAGTGCAGAGGAGGATCATATGGAGCATGTACGAAATAAATAAAGGCGCGGAAAAGGGCAGTTATAAGAAATGTGCCAGAATCGTGGGTGAGGTTATTGGAAAATATCACCCACATGGAGATAAAAGTGTGTACGATGCGTTGGTTCGTCTGGCACAGAAGCATCACAATAGCAATCTGCTAATCAATGGATACGGGAACTTCGGCTCCGTTGAGTACAACGCAGCGGCTATGCGTTACACGGAGGCTAAAGTTTCAAACTTCTGTTATGATATCCTTTTGGACGAAATAAATGATGAGAACGTAGAATACGTGCGAAACTTTGATGGGAATGAAGTGGAGCCGAAGGTGCTGTGCAGCAAAGTTCCTCTCCTACTCATTAATGGATGCTCCGGCATTGCAGTCAGCATATTGAGTAACATCCCCTGCCATAACTTAGTAGATGTGATCAACTGCACCATTAGCTTTTTACTCGACCCAAGTATTAAAGAGGACCACTTAGCCGCTATAATAAAGGGGCCCGACTTCTCCACTGGAGGGATTATTATAAGCAAACCGAATGAGCTGCAAAATGTATATCAAACGGGGAAGGGAAATATAGAAATTAGGAGCAACGTCTTTCTGGAGTACACGAAGAATGACAAAGGTTACGTCACCCACGTGAATGATTTGCTCAACCTACACCCAGAAGATGTGGACCCGAGGGGGAGTAAAAAGTTAGTAATAAAAAATTTACCCCCAAATGTGAAGCCAAATGAACTAATCGAAAATATGATTAACATTTTGAATGAGAAAAAAAATGAGCATGAAAATATTTTACAAAAAATAAGAGATGAAAGTGAGAAGGAGGACATGCGAATTGTACTGGAACTGAGGAAAAATAGCCAACTGGAACAAATAAATGACTTCCTTTCCTTCATTTTTAAGTACACACAGATGCAGATTACCTACCATTGCAATTTTGTTTCCATCGGTCACCAAAATAGTTACACCCAGTTCTCATTGAAATCGTTCTTACAGCTTTGGTGCGAAAATCGCATAAAATTTATTAGAAACAATTTGACAATAAAAAATAAAAACTTACAGAAAGAACTTCACATCATACACCTGTACATGCTCATACAGAAAAAAATTTTGGAGATTATTTCCTTTCTCCAGAAGAACCAAAGCATTGAACAGATAAAAGATTTTTTTAAAAAAAATTTCCAACTTAATGATTATCAGATCCAGCACATCCTCTCTATGAAGATACAGAAATTGGTCAACATTAAGAACGTCGATTTTGGAACTCAGAGGGAGAAAATTCTGGCTCGCATGCAGGAGAATCGAGACCTCATCGCCAACGTGGAGAAGATCAAGCACCTCATCATTGAGCAGCTGGCCTACATAAAAAATAAGTATGGCAGCAGCAGCGTAGGAAGGTTCGCACCCCCGCAGAGCGTTAAGTATAAGTACGTTTATATAAACCCACCCGGACGCAGTCAGCACTTTAAGGAGCACTTAATCCAACCGCCTACCCCCCCGCGGGATGATCCATCTGAGCTTGCAGCCGACGCGGAAGATTCAAAAGAGGAAAGCGAAATTTTGCAAAGGGATGCAAATCCGAACCAAACGCACAACGGTGAAGGGCAACACATCGAAGTGGTGGATCCCCCCTTAACCAGGGGAAATAACCAAAGGGGAGGAGTGCATGACGCGGAGTGCGCACCCCCGGTGGAAGACACTCAAAAGGGGACGAAAAAAATAGACCCTTTTCTTCACTACAGGCACACCTACATCGACTCCATACACACGGACGTCAAAGATGTTTACAACAACGATCACGTCCTTGTCCTAATAACCTACGGAGGGTACGTCAAGAAGATCAAAATTGCGGAGAAGTTGAAGAATCACCAGAACAATATCATGAAGCTGTCCAACGTGAAGTACATTTTGAAGGAGAACGAGGAGAGGCGACTCAAGGGTGGCGGCGCACCGGGGGAAGCGGCCAAACCAGCAGTAAGTGGCACGGCCAACGTAGGAGGAGGCGAGACAGCCAACGTAGCAGTAGATGGGGAAACCACCTCCATTGCTAAGCCCCCCACTGCCAACTCAGCCAACTGCTACAAAGTGAAGAAAAGCATCCTCTGCAGAAACAAAGACAAACTACTGCTCACGGACAGCCAGAACAAAGCCTACATCCTGAATGTGTGCGATTTGCAGACTTCGTCTTACGACTCCAAGGGGACGCCAATCAACCAAGTGGTGCACTGCTCAAAGAGCATCACCGGCATGACCAAGTTCGAGGAAAATAAAAAGTACCTCATCGTGTGCAGTGAAAATGGAAAAATGAAAGTCATAAACAACGACGTTTTCTTGAAGAAGAAAAAAAAAGGAATCAGACTTTTTAAAAACAAAAAAGATATCCATTTCAGCTACTGCAATTTTACGGACAACTGCATTGTTGGAACGGCCAGTGGACACATAATTCAGTTTCCACTCTCCAATTTTAAAATATCAAAAAAAAACTCGCTCGGGAATAAGTGCATCAATCTGGCGAAAAACGACAGAGTGGTGGACCTCTTGGCATATGAGAATGACGAAAAAAGTGTGAAAAATTTTCAAATCATATTTCTTTCCAAAGGGGGACATGGAAAAATGATAAACTTGGAGGAGCTCAAAGTGCAGAAGAAGAAGGGCAAGGGGTACAAGATTATGAAGTTTAAGCGGGCCAAAAGGGCCGCGGCTCTCGAGAGAGAGCAGGGGAAAGGCGGGAAAGAGGCACACCTAGGAAAAGAGAGTCAGGATCCCTCCGCCCACATGAGCAAACGACATATGGACCAAACTTCCGCGCAGAGCACCGACCCGGACGAATTCCTCGGGTTTAAATTGTATGACATGACAAAGAAGAATGACAACGACTTTCTCATCATGATTACCGACCATGCTGTTCTGATCCGCAAAAATATCACCCTCCTGAAAAAAAAAAACAGGAAGCACTCATCGCAAATTTATGCCAAGATGAGCAAGCTCAACCGGCTCGTTTTCTTTGACATTATGTAATCCCGTTGCAGTGTATGTGAAGTAGGCGTGATGGTGGGCAGACACACGTGTCTATATATAGTTATGTTTGTACCCGCGTGTTTTTTTTTTTTTTTCTTTGTGTGAGCCCTTTAATATTTGCTTCCCACTTTAACATGGGGAAAAAAAACAACCCCAGCGGGCGAGCAGACCGCGCAGCGAATGCGTGTGCATTTTGGCTAACACTTTGTGCCCACAGGGCAAGATGATTTTTTTTTTCTTTCATTCATTCTTTCCTTGCTTTTTTCTTTCTCACTCCCATGTGTAACTCCGACACGGTGGGCTGTCAACAAATTTGCCGTCGCACCAATTGGCGCCATGATATCCTACCCAGATTATGCGCTCGGTCCGGCCATTTCATTTTGCACAGTTGCGCAGACGTCCACGTGACCCATTCAGGACAGGCATTAGTAAAGTTCTGCACAACGGAGGTAGTACTCAGTTGGGACTACTAAAAGTGCACTGCATTGGTCAAATGGTTCCTGCTGAATTTGAGAAGGAAAGAAGTCATGGGGTAGCTTGTTGGGAAAGACAAAGAGCGCGCTGAAGGTGCACACCATTTGGTGAATCAAAAGGGATTTAAAGCTTCATAAAAAAAAAAAAAAAAAAAAATACAGCAACGTGCTGGGCGCTTTTTAATTTATAAAAATTTAACAAAAAAAAAGTACTTGACACTTTTGCTTCACATTATTGCTTCACACCTTTTACATTTTCCCGCATTTCCCATGTGGATAACCATATGTACGTACGCCCGTAGGGGTGCAGCGAAAGGGGGGGATCAAATGTTAAGAAATTGCGCAGGGGCACATGGTTGTCCCTCTTTCTTCTGCGTATTTGGGGTTGCACAGAGGGAGGGGCAGCGGTGTACACCTCGTGCAAGCCGTACAACTCGTACAATCCGTAGAACTCGCACAATTCGTACAGGCCATACAGCTGGTACACCTACGCGGGGGCATAATCCCCGAGGGGGCAGTGCCGCACCTCCGACAGAGGAATCTCTCCACCCAAATTAACGCCTCGCGGGAATTTACTTAAAATCCGGGGTGAGGTACTTGAGGAAGCCCAATTTCTTGGAGCCTCGCTTGGCATCCTTCTTGGAGGCACCATTATATACCTCGGAGTAGTCGTCTTTGTTCCTGCAATTTGACTGCGTGGAGGCATTGTTCTCGCTGTTGTTTGTGTACTGATTCAGGTAGCTATAATTTGTAGGGGGGTATCCCCCCCCGGGTCTGCCGAGACTTCCACTTGAGTAGTATTTATTATGTGAGAAAGGAGTATTCATCAGTGGGACATCAGGATGGTTACCTGATCCGCCATAATTCACACCTTGTGGCATGAAAGGATAAAAGTGGTAGTAAGGGAAAGGAGGGATGTTCCCATTAGGAGGGTGCACAGGAGGAGTCATATGTGAGCTGTACACATTATACTCATTGCCATTTCCTCTAGCCCCCCCTCCACCAATGGATAAGGCATAATTACTACCAATAAAAATTAGAAGGAAAATAAAAGCAATTACACAGATACTTTTCCATTCAAACTGAACAATAAATGCATTAATAAGCTGACCCAACATTTGTGCAGACAAGAAAGAAAAATCTTGATATAACTTGTGATCAGTTTTCATACATCTGAGCCATTCTTCACATTTATCATTTAGGATAGGTAAATTTACTGTACCACATTTATGAGCATAGTATTGCTTCTTACACGAGTCCGATTCTTCCTTCACGTTTTGCATCTGAATGGCAACTTTCTTGTTTATGTCTTCTCTAACGGATACGAATGTAAAATAAATCAATGTCACTATTAGGGATGTTATGATGATATTAAATATGACTCTTATCCATCTTTGGATTATGTCTGGAGAGTAAACAAAAAAGTTCTTAATTTTTTGACTTGAGGTTTCTCTCTGAATTAGTGCACTATAATCTGGGTACTTCTTCTCATACACTACCATTTGGTGATTATTGTCGTGCATAAAGGAGTTATTTTCAAATTCTTTTATGTACGATAATTCAGACACGTTTGTGTTCTGATCTCCGTAGTAACTATTCCAGAGAAGCTTTCTTTTTAACTTTCTACCACTTCGTATGTTGCCCAATACCAAATGTGTATTTCCATACGGGTCTTTCCCCATCCCCCCCTTCCTCCTTTTGATCAAATTTAGGCCCTTCTCATTGTTTCTGCGGGGCGTAGCACGCATGTGCCCCCGGTTGCTGTAGAGGTGACTTCCCGCATGGCTGCCTCGATGGCTGCCCGCGTGGCTGTCTCCGTGCCTGCCTCCGTTGCTTTCCCTAGTGCTGCAAAAGTTCTCCGCGCCCTTCTCCTTCTTTACCAACGAGTGCATTTGCTTATCTCTGTACTTGTCCGCTCCGTCGTGAGGCGAACTGCCGATCAGGAATTTCTGGTAGCTGTTCAGGTCATTCGAATTGTTCTCCAGGTTGATGGTGTCGTTATCCTCGCTGCAAGAGTAGTGCTTGGCGTCCTCGATCGGGATGATGGGCAGCTCGCTCTCGCATATTTTCATTTCGTTCGGGCGGGAGAAGGGTTGTGGTTATGGTAGCTTAGGCTCGGCCGGGATCCGTTCGGTTCAGCAAGCTTCTGTTGTGCTCTGTTCGATTCAGCTAGCTTCTGTTGTGTTTTGTTCTGTTCAACTAGCTTCTGTTTTGCTCTCCCCGGCTCAGCTAGCTTCTGTTGTGCTGGGTTTCGGTGCCTTTCTCTTCCTTCCCTTCGCGTGTTCACCTTTTTGTGCCTCTCCCTCTTCAGACTTTCGCTCCTTCCTTCCCTTGGTGCTCCCTTGTTCACATCCCGCTCCGCTCACATGTGTGGCACACGGCACGGGAAGATGTTGTCGGGGGGGGAAATGGCCTCTTTGATTGGTGTCGTGTGTTGCGTATGTACAAGTGCTGCGGTGCTCATGTTATTTACTGGCAGATGCTCCGTTACAGGGGGGTCTCCACTAGGTGGTTGCCTCCACTCGGCTGCCACTTCGTCGTTGCTACTTCGTGGCTGGGCTTCTCCCCCTAGTTGTCATTTTTTTGGCTCACTTAGAACAGAAGAACGGGTTGTGCGATGCATTAGTTCGTGCAATCGCGGCCACGTCTGTGCGTACCGACGTAAAATGCAGGCGAAGGTCTGATGCTACATGCCATACGAATTCGCAGCTCGCTTTGTCCTCTCAGGAATTTTCCCAACTAGCGGCTGCCGTTAACTCATAAAAAATACCGTTAAAAAGGGCGGCTTCGATGTGCGCGTTTTCGCAACGTTGACATGTACTTGGTAAGTGATTCGTAAGTACTTCGTAAGGACTTCGTAAGTACTGTATACTATTATGTATACATTATGTATTATGCCTACGTGTAAATGAATATGGCCCACTTGTGTTTGTAACTGGTGGGGAATTTGGAACAATTTTTTTTTTCTTCAAATTTC